AAACCCGTCTCTACAAAAAATAACAAAAATTAGCCAGGCGTTGGTAGCGCATGTTGGTTGTCCCGGCTACCTTGGGAGGCTGAGGTGGGAGGATTGCCTGAGCCAAGGAGATTGAAGCTGCAGTGAACTGATTGTGCCACTGCAGTCTAGCCTGGTTGACAGAGCAACACCCTGTCTCCAAAAAAAAAAGAAAGGGCCAGGCATGGTGTCTTACACCTGTAATCCCTGCACTGCACTTTGGGAGGCTTGAGGCAGGTAGATCACCTGTCAGAAGTTTGAGACCAGCCTGGCCAACATGGCAAAACCCCGTCTCTACTAAAAATACAAACATGAGCCAGGCATGGTGGTGGGTGCTGTGATCCCAGCTACTCAGGAGGCTGAGGCCAGAGAATTGCTTGAACCCCGGAGATTGAGGTTGCAGTGAGCCAAGATCTGCACTCCAGGCTAGGCAATGACAGAGACTCTGTCTCCAAAAAAAAAAAAAAAAAAAAAAAAATTGTCCTTTTGTCTGTGATAGATGACGCTTATGTGTAGTGCGTTATTGAGGACTGTACTTGGCCCGTGTACCCAGCATTTTAAATTCCATCATTACAGTTGTGGTTAGTAGCACCCTTGTCAGAGAGGCCTGACTTCAGATGTGGAATCGTTTTTCATCCATTTGAGTCTGATCTCTGAGTCATAGGAAGGAGTGGCTGCTGGGAGATGCGTGGAATTGCTTATTGCTTCTCTTAGCTCCTGAGAGATGGAAAGAAGCTTTAGGTGCACAGTTGTTATTTCTCTGTGGGGAAGTTTCCTTAATGTTTTTATCATTTTCCTGTTGATAAGAAAAGCTCCCAACCCACAGTCAAGACTTTCAGCACATTAGCTTTTTCAAGTTACCTTCTGTTAATCCAAGTAGGGCGATTTGAGCCAAGAACTCAGTCATTCAAATAATTAGCATGGCACTAGAGGCAGAGACAGGCTGTGATCAGGAGACATAATTCTTTTTTTTTTTTTTTTTTTCGTTTGATACAGAGTCTCATTCTGTCACCAGTCGCCAGGCTAGAGTGCAGTGGCGCGATCTGGGCTCACTGCAGCCTCCGCCTCCTGGGTTCAAGCAATTCTCCTGCCTCAGCCTCCCAAATAGCTGGGACTACAGGCACACGCCACCATACCCAGCTAATTTTTGTATTTTTAGTAGAGATGGGGCTTCGCCATGTTGGTCAGGATGGTCTCGATCTCTTGACCTCGTGATTTGCCCGCCTCGGCCTCCCAAAATGCTGGGATTACCGGAGTGAGCCACTGTGCCCAGCCATCTTGTTTGTAACATCAGGCAGGGCTAAGTTCTTTCTGGGGCTCTGTCATCAGTTGAGGAAAAAAGGAGGTTCAGGATTGAAAACTAAGTTCCTTTTCAAGTCTAGAATTCCATTTATACCTCCAATTAGCAGTTCTTCCCTGTGAGATACAGGGGTGGAGATCATGAAATATTCTTATTTAAGAAAAATGTCTAGTAAAATATGCAGTTCTCTGAATTAGATTATCCTGATTTTTTCTTTTCTTTTCTTTTTTGGTGGGGGGTATTTGGAGAGTTCTAGTATGTGCCTGATAAGATAGTAAGCCTTGGGGCTATGAAAGTGAACATGTGAGGACTCTGCGAGCTGATGTGGTCATAGTGTAGTCACTGTGGCTGCTGACATCCTCTGGAAAATTACTGCATTTAGAAATGAGAAAGTGTATTTCTCATGAGCATTCAGTCCAGCCCCTGCACCACAGCCTCCATTACAACAAGTACTTGGTAGCTATAACTGATCAGCCTTTTAAAATTATTTTTTAGTAGAGATGGTGGGCAGGGGTGGCCTCACTGTGTTGCCCAGGCTGGTCTCAAACTCCTGGGCTCAAACAATCTTCCCACCTCAGCCTCCCAGTGCTGGGACACATGAGACTGCACCAGGCCTGGCCTTAAGTTTTCTTTTCTGTTTTTTTTTTCTCTTTTCTTTTTTTTTTTTTTTTTCTTTTTGAGGTAAGTCTCACTCTGTCGCCCAGACTGGAGTGCAGTGGTGTGATCTCAGCTCCCTGCAACCTCCACCTTCTGGGTTCAAGCGATTCTTCTGCCTCAGCCTCCCAAGTAGCTGGGATTACAGGCACATGCCACCACTGCCCGGCAAATTTTTGTATTTTTTTAGTAGGGGGGAGGGGGCTTCACCATATTGGTCAGGCTGGTCTCAAACTCCTAACTGCATGTTCCACCTGCCTTGGCTTCCCAAAGTGCTGGGATTACAGTAAAAGACTACTGGCTGGGCGTGGTGGCTCATGCCTGTAATCCCAGCACTCTGGGAGACCTAGGCAGGTGGATCACTTGGGCTCAGGAGTTTCAGACCAGCCTAGCCAATATGGTGAAACCACATCTCTACTAAAAATAAAAAAATTAGCCTGGTGTGCTCCTGTAATCCCAGCTACTTGGGAGGCTGAGGCAGGAGAATTGGTTGAGCCCAAGAGGCGGAGATTGCAGTGAGCTGAGATGGTGCCACTGCACTCCAGCCCAAATGACAAAGCAAGACTCCCTCTCAAAAAAAAAAAAAAAAAAAAAAAAAAAAAAAAAAAAAAAAAAACTAGAAAGTCTAAACTAGCTCTTTTGATAACCCTTTAAAGGTCTACTGTTTACCAAGTTATTGGGATATGATGATGATTGAAAATCCTTCAGTTAGACACTCAAGCTGGGCATGGTGACTCACACCTGTAATCCGAGCACTTTGGGAGGCTGAAGCAGGTGGATCATGAGATTGAGAGATCGAGACCATCCCGGCCAACATGATGAAACCCGGTCTCTACTAAACATAAACAAATTAGCTGAACATAATGGCTGGTGCCTGTATTCCCAGCTACTCAGGAGCTGAGGCAGGAGAATTGCTTGAACCCGGGAACCAAGATCAAGCCTCTGTACTCCAGCCTGAGCAACAGCGGGAGACTCCATCTTAAAAAAAAAAAAAAAAAAAAAAAAAAAAAGGCTGATGTAAAAATCAGAACTTGAACAGTAGTTAAAATTGTATAGTTATGGCTGGGCACGGTGGCTCTTGCCTCTAATCTGAACACTTTGGGAGGCCAAGGCAGGTGAATCATGAGGTCAGGAGTTTGAGACCAGGCTGGCCAACATGGTGAAACCCTGTCTCTACTAAAAATACAAAAAATTAGCTGAACATAGTGGCGGGTGCCTGTATTCCCAGCTACTCAAGAGGCTGAGGCAGGAGAATTGCTTGAACTCAGGAGGCGGAGGTTGCGGTGGGCCGAGATCGTGCCACTGCACTCCAGCCTGAGTGACAGTGAGACTCCATCTCAAAAACAAAAAACAAAGTACCGTTATTCCTTAGAATCCCTGGAGGATTGGTTTTCAGGACTCAACCTCCTGCCAATGGATATGTCAGTCTCTGATAGAAAATGGTGTAGTATTTGCATATAAGCAATGCACATCCTAGATGACTTATAATACCGAATGCAATCTAAATTCCATGTAAATGGTTGTTATACTGTATGGTTTAGAGAATCGTGACAGGAATGTGTACATGTTAGGTCCTGGTTGGTTAAATCTGCAGATGCAGAGCTCACAGGGAAGGAAGCTGGCTGGGCATGGCACACAGCTCAGAGGTTTCCTTTGAGTAGCTTTGCTGCACTTCTGTTGGGAATTTATATTGAAGTTATATTTGTACATTTTGGGGAAGAATCTGGTCTGGGGAAGTCATGCCTCAATTTTCCTTTTTTTGTTTTTTTGAGACGGAGTCTTGCTCTGTCACCCAGGCTGGAGTGCAGTGGTTCCATCTTGGCTCACTGCAACCTCTACCTCCCAGGTTCAGGCGATTCTCCTGCCTCAGCCTCCCAAGTAGCTGGGATTACAGGCATGTGCCACCACGCCCAGCTAATTTTTTGTATTTTTAGTAGAGATGGGTTTTCACTGTGTTAGCCAGGATAGTCTTGATCTCCTGACCTTGTGATCCTCCGGCCTCAGCCTCCCAAAGTACTGGGATTACAAATGTGAGCCACCGCGCCCAGTATATGCCTCAATTGTTAACACCAGATTTGTCTCGTGCTGTTTAATCCTACTTTGTAATGAGCTGAGGCCTGGGCGCTTGACCAGGTGAGTGTTTTTTGAGCTAAATTAATTTATGGCAGTCTGGGCCCAGTGGCTCACGCCAGCAATCCCAGCATTTTGGGAGGCTGAGGTGGATGGATGACCTGAGGTCAGGAATTTGAGATCACCTGACCAACACGGAGAAACCCCCTCTCTACTGAAAATACATTAGCCTGGTGTAATCCCAGCTACTTGGGAGGCTGAGGCAGGAGAATCGCTTGAACCTGGGAGGCAGAGGTTGTGAGCCAAGATCGCGCCATTGTAGGCTTTGGGCAACAAGAGCAAAACTTTGTCTCAGAGAAAAAAAAATAGCAGCACAGAAAAGGGACAACTAGCCACCAAGTAGTCGTCTGGTGGCTAACTGGAACCACTTGAGTTGTGGGTTGTCTCTTTCCAAGTTGCTTCACGTTTGAACAAAATATGCGGACTCTGCAGGGCACCAAGGCCCAGGGCCTGCATCCCTTGGACGTGCGGCCACCACTCTGTGGAATGGCTGCGGCTGATGACACAAAGCACTGTTGCCAGGAAACCTTCAAGTCTTTCTGTCCTTACGTGGCCCCCCAAAAGTGAGTGAATCCTGGCCTTTCTAGGCTAAGGGGATGGATGGAGTCTAGCTGGACTTTGGAGGCGATCTCAGCCCCTGTTGCCAAGCCTACCCTTGTGAGCCTTGTGGTGGCCTTTGCTTCCCATCGAGGCTCGCAGCGAGGGCGCGTTCTTACGCGGAATCTTCAGGGTGCGCGGGGGCCCCCTACGTTTCAAACCTCCGCCGGCGCGGGGACTGGGAGTCCAGGGCTCCAGCTCGGGGACCCGAGGCCGGCGACAGACAGCGGAAGGGCGGATTCCCCAGAGGCAGGAACTCGGTCCAGTGACTCGCCCCAGGCGGTCAGACCCGGGGCAGGGGCGCCCCGAGGGCCCCGCAAGGCCCCCAAAGGCCCCAAGACGCAGCGCGCAGTGAGTGGGGAGTGGTTGGCCGGCGCCCCGCGGCCGCGCACAGCTCCAGACAGCCACGATGCCGCCCGCGACGGCGGCGACCACGGTCTCCCTCCGGGAGCTGGCGGACCTCTCCATCGGCACCCCGGAGGTGGGCGCCGTCAACTTCAACGCCTTGCACACGCTCATCGTGGCCATGCTCAAAAACCTCGACCTCCAAAATACCCAGATCGACTTCCAGGCCCCGTCGCCCGAGCCCAGCCGCTCGCTGCAGTCCTCCCGGGGCTCGCTCAGCACCCCGAGCCTGCCCGCGCCCAAGGAGGCGCCCAAGGAGGCGCCCCGGGAGAAGCGCAGGAGCGTGAGCCGGACGCCCTCGTCGGCGCTGGAGAGCCAGGTGAAGGACCTGGGCGGCCAGGTGGAGGACCTGAGCAAGCAGCTCAAGCGCATGGATGGCCAGGTGCAGGGCATCGCCACGCACGTGCAGCACTTCTCCCAGGCCACCGGGCTCCACCTGGCAGTGCCAGAGTGGCTGCAGGATCAGGAGGTGGGCGCGCGGGGGCCGGATAGTGTGCGGACTGGGAGTATCATGAAGGACACCACCGCCGAGGAGCTCAGCATCGCCAGGGTGAGTGCTTCGTGGAGGTAACCCTCAGGCCGTCTCCCTCCTCCAGGCTGCCCTCCGGGCCTGGCTGAGTCCCCACCCACAGTAGAGGGGCGCGCGGGGGTGGGGACAGAGGAGGTGCCAGGCCTCAATATGACTGGTTAGATAGAGCGCAGTCCACACTGTATCTTGCAGGCCATGGGGCTGCTTCAGGATGTCCTGCAAGACCTAAAAACCCTAAAAGAACATCAAGGAAACGCACAGGGCCTCCCCGAGCTGGAGGGGCCTGGTGACCCCACCTCCTCCTTCCTAGCCATGTTTACAGGAGAGGCTCACCCACCACTTAACAGACATCCAAGGACCCTGAGCCGGCTCAGAGTGGGGCCAGCAACTTCTCAGAATATTCTTAGAGGAAATTTCCTTTTTAAAAAGAATAAAGAGATACGTGTTGAGGACAAAGTCTCCCAGAGAAGGGGAGTCAGGATGGAGAGGTGGACCTCAGCTCCCTGTGGCCATGACACAAGCCACAGCAGGTAGGGGACAGTTTCATGTGGACTTTGTTTTTTTGGGACAGAGTCTCTCTCTGTTGCCCAGGCTGGAGTGCAGTGGCACAGTCTCGGCTCACTGCAATCTCCGCCTCCCAAGTTCAAGCAATCCTCCTGCCTCAGCCCCTAGTAGCTGGGATTACAGGAATGCGCCACCATGCCCGGCTAATTTTTGTATTTTTAGTAGAGACAGGGTTTCGCCACGTTGGTCAGGCTGGTCTGGAACTCCTGACCTCAGGCGATCCACCCATCTCGGCCTCCCAAAGTGCTGGGATTTACAGGCGTGAGTCACGGTACCCGGCCTTTATTTATTTATTTATTTATTTATTTTGAGACAAAGTCTCACTCTGTCACCCAGGCTGTAGTGCAGTTGCGCAATCTCGGCTCGCTGCAACCTCCGCTTCCCAGGCTCAAGGGATTCTCCTGCCTCAGCCTCCCAAGTATCTGGGATTATAGGCGTGTGCCACCACACCTGGCTAATTTTTGTATGGATTTCACCATGTTGGCCAGGCTGGTCTGGAAGCTCTCACGTATCCTTAGCCAAAACTGTGAGCCACTGTGCCCGGCCTTCAGCTAGACTTTCGCTTTCTTGGAGGGAGAAGTGCATAAGATCACTGAGCATCATTAAGTATTCTCCAGTGAACTCCAGGAAGCAACGCAGGCAGCACCGGGAGGTAATAGACAAGGATGTGGAGAGCCACCTTAGGATGGGCCCAGAAGAAACAGCAGGAGCAACTAGGAAGACAGCTGGGCAGGGAGGCCAAGAGGAGAGATAGGAGGGGAAAGAGAGGCCAGGAAGAGGCAGGAAAAGGAGGCCAAGCCCCTGCAGGGGAGCCGAGGCCACCATGCCTTGCCGCCACATCATCCTGGGTCTCGAGACCCCAGCACCGCTCACTTTTGGTCTGGGAAGTGTGTCTGCTTTCCTTTCCAAACTTTAAAGTGTGGTGGGTTTTTTGTTTTAATTTTTTTTTTTTTTTGGACAGAGTCTCACTCTGTCACCGAGGCTGGAGTGCAGTGGTGCAATCTTGGCTCACTGCAACTCTGTCTCCTGGTTCAAGCAATTCTCCTGCCTCAACCTCCCTAGTAGCTGGAATTATAGCTGTGGACCACCACACCCGGCTAATTTTTGTACTTTTAGTAGAGATGGGGTTTTTGCATGTTGGCCAGACTGGTCTCGAACTCCCAACCTAAAGTGATCCTCCTGCCTCAGCCTCCCAAAATGTTGGGATTACAGGCAAGAGCTACCGGGCCTGGCCTTCTGTTTTAATTTTTAGCTAATCTTAGATTCTAGAGGCTTGCATAATTTATACAAAGCAACTCAAGTTTTGTTTGTAATTATTAATATATTCTTAATCCCACATATGCTAGTACGCACTTTAAGTTGTGGCGGTTTGCTTTGGTTCTTTTGAGGTGCTTTTCTCTTTAGAGAGCACAAATGCTCAGCTCCTGTTGAGGTACCTGGCACCCTTCCTTCCTCGCAAGGCAAGCTGGGCCTCATCCTCCAGGCTTTCATGAGTGGGTTGGAGCAAACCGCATCCCAGGACAAGAGGTCTCATCTCTGCAGCAGCATTTGCTCCTGCCATGCCACCCCCCAGGGTCCCCTGCATCTCACTTCCCTTCCTGTGCGTGGCTGGGAAAAGACCTGGGAGGTAAAAACCAGGCAGAAGGCAGCACGCAGGGGCTCCTGCCTGGAATCCCAGCACTGTGGGAGGCCGAGGCTGGAGGATTGCTTGGACCCAGGAGTTTGAGACCAGCCTGAACAACATGGCAAGACCTTATCTCTACAAAAAAAAAAAAAAAAGTTTAAGATTAGCTGGATGTGGTGGTGCACGGCTGAAGTCCCGGCTACTCAGGAGGCTAAGGTGGGAGGATCACTTGAGACTGAGAAGTTGAAGCTGCAGTGACCTGTGGTGGCGCCCCTGCCTGGGTGACAGAGCGAGACCCTGTCTCAAAAGACTAAACGGCTGGGTGCAGTGGCTTATGCTTGTAATCCTAGCACTTTAGGAGGCCAAGGCGGGCAATCATGAGGTCAGAAGTTTGAGACCAGCCTGTCCAATATGATGAAACTCCGTTTTTACCAAAAAATACAAAAATTAGCCGGGCATGGTGGCACACGCCTGTAGTCCCAGCTATTTGGGAGGCTGAGGCAGGAGAATCACTTGAACCTGGGAGGCGGAGGTTGCAGTGAGTGGAGATTGCACCATTGCACTCCAGCCTGGGCAACAGAGTGAGATTCTGTCTAAAAAACAAAACAAAAGACAACAAAACAAAAAACAACCAAAAAACCCAAATAGAAGAAACCCTCCCTTTCCATAAGAGCCACACAAATTCCCCCTTTCCTCATCTCCTGACACTGAGTCAGTGTGTGTGTGTGTATGAGTGTGTGAGTGTGTGAGTGTACAAAAGACACCCTGGGATCTCCAGGACTGTTTCCTGATTTCAGGGCTCATCCTCAGAGGAAAGCAGCATCAGATGTTGCAAGAGGGACAGGGTGCAGTGGCTCACACCTGGAATCCCAGCAGTTTGGGAGGCCAAGGCAGGTGGATCACCTGAGGTCAGGATTTTGAGCCTAGCCTGGGCAACATGGTGATACCCCATCTCCACTAAAAATGCAAAAATTAGCCAGGTGTGGTGGTGCATGCCTGTAATCTCAGCTACTCCAGAGGCCGAGTGTATGAGTGTATGGGTTAGTGTGTCAGTGTGTGTGTGAGTGTGTCAGTGTGTTAGTGCATCAGTATGAGTGTGTGTGTCAGTGTGTTAGTGCATCAGTATGAGTGTGTGTGTGTATGCGCATGTGTCAGTGTGTTAGTGTATCAGTATGAGTGTGTGTGTGCGTGTGTCAGTGTGTTAGTATATCAGTATGAGTGTGTGTGAGTGTGTCAGTGGGTTAGTGCATCAGTATGAGTGTGTGTCAGTGTGTTAGTGCATCAGTATGAGTGTGTGTGTGTGTGTGTGTGTGCGCGCGTGTGTAGGGGCTGCTGTCATTCTCCTTCCCTGAACTCTTCTTCCAGGTACTTTTACAGCGGGTTGATGAACTAGAGAAGCAAATCAAAGATCGGGAACAGTTCCTGGTAATACCAGCCGGTTCCATGGGAAGGGGATCTCCAGGGGGCTGGCCCTCTCTCAGCATGGCCCTCTCTCCAGGGCTTGTCCCTCCAGGGCAGGCAGTATGTGCCTTCTGCCTCCCAAGTCTCTTCCCCTATGATTAGAGGGAAATCTGTCCCATCCCTGCGCAGCTCTCTACTGGGTGCCCACATGGGACAGAGAACTGGCTGCCCAGCCTTCGCTGGTCACTTGAAGGGTCATGAATTCTCCCTGGGGCTAGAGCTGTGAAGGACCCCCCCAGATCCTGTTAGACCAAGTCTGTTCCTAAAGCTTCTTGGGATTAATCAAGGAGTATGTGTGTGTCTTGCCTGTCACTGTCAGGAACTGGTCAGCCGGAAGCTCAGTTTGGTTCCCGGTGCAGAAGAAGTCACCATGGTCACCTGGGAAGAGCTGGAGCAGGCGATCACGGACGGCTGGAGAGCCTCGCAAGCGGTGAACCAGTGGGGGCCTGGGCAGTCGTCTGGGGTGGGGCTCCCCAGAACCTCTCGCTTTGTATAGCTGCACAGGATTCTGTTCTATGTGGATATTTTACATGGTTTTTCCAATCTTAAGAGCAAGGTGCGCCGGGCGCGGTGGCTCAAGCCTGTAATCCCAGCACTTTGGGAGGCCGAGGCGGGTGGATCACGAGGTCGAGAGTTCGAGACCATCCTGGTCGACATGGTGAAACCCCGTCTCTACTAAAAATACAAAAAATCAGCTGGGCATGGTGGCGTGTGCCTGTAATCCCAGCTACTCAGGAGGCTGAGGCAGGAGAATTGCCTGAACCCAGGAGGCGGAGGTTGCGGTGAGCCGAGATCGCGCCATTGCACTCCAGCCTGGGTAACAAGAGCAAAACTCCGTCTCAAAAAAAAAAAAAGAAAAAAAAAAAAAAAAAAAAAAAAAGAGCAAGGTGACACTCACATGTGTGACTAGCGGGCATCCCTAGAAACAGAATGTGCATTAGTGATTTGGCTAGCCGTTGGCAAATTGCCCTCCATGGCCGCTGTTCCAATGGAGACTCCCTCCGGCAATGAAAGAAGCACTTGTTCCCTGACGTCCCCAGCGCTGTATGCTGGCACCCCATTTTTTGAGTTTTGCTAACCGACTGGGTCAACAGAAAATCGTACCTGAGTGTAGTTTTTATTTGCTTTTGTAGTTTTCCAAACTTTCTTTACAGTGTGTCCTGAAATGTAGGACCTTTCCTTATTAGTGGACATGGTGGCCGACCGTGGAATTAAAACCTCCGTAGGGGACCCGTTGCTGCTGATGACTTTTGCACACAGGCACGCTTCTGTCTGTCTTGGTTCAGTGTACAGATGACCAAATTGTTTTCAGATTCCCAACCTACCATCATCTGAATAAAATCAAGCTGGATATTTTCAAATGGCCCTCAGAGATGAGACTTAGCTTCCCTTTTGGTTTTCACATTCCTCACACTGGCTTTGGGCAAGTGGGTTATCAAAACAATCAAGCGAACTTTGAGGGTCGTTTCAAAATGTGGACAGAAGGAGGGTAAAGAGTAAAGCTTTTGGCGCCACCAAGTGGCCATCTTGGAGAGTGCCAAATATCTGTGTACGAAAGACCCCTGGGATCTCCAGGACTGTTTCCTGATTTCGGGGCTCATCCTCAGAGGAAAGCAGCATCAGAAGATGTTGCAAGAAGGGCAGGGTGCCGTGGCTTATGCCTCAAACCCCAGCACTTTGGGAGGCTGAAGCGGGTGGATCACCTGAGGTCAGGAGTTTGAGCCCAGCCTGGGCAACATGGTGAAACCCAGTTTCTACTAAAAATACAAAAATTAGCAGAGTGTGGTGGCACGTGTCTGTGACCCCAACTACTCGCGAGGCTGAGGCAGGAGAATTGTTTGAATCCAGGAGGCAGAGGTTGCAGTGAGCTGAGATTGTGCCATTGCATTCCAGCCAGTCTGGGCAACAAGAGTGAATACTCTGTCTCAAAAAAAAAAAAAAAAAAAAAAAAGGAAAAAAAGGCCGGGTGTGGTGGCTCAAACCTGTAATCCCAGCACTTTGGGAGGCCGAGGCGGGTGGATCACGAGGTCAAGAGATCAAGACCGTCCTGGTCAACATGCTGAAACCCCGTCTCTACTAAAAATACAAAACATTAGCTGGGCATGGTGGCGTGTGCCTGTAATCCCAGCTACTCAGGAGGCTGAGGCAGGAGAATTGTCTGAACCCGGGAGGCAGGGGTTGCGGTGAGCCGAGATCACGCCATCATACTCCAGCCTGAGTAACAAGAGCTAAACTCCGTCTCAAAAAAAAAAAAAAAAAAAAGGTAAACTGGAAAGATTAGCCAGTCAGTCATGGGAGGAAAAAGGAGACAATGTGTGCTTCCTGTGGCTGTTCCAACAAATGACCACAGACTTAGTGACTTAAAACCACACAGATCTCTTACCTTACAGTTCGGGAGGATGCAAGGCCAGCACCACGTTTCACGGGGCAGAGGTCAAGTTGTTGGCAGGCTGGCTCCCGCTGGTGGCTCTGGGGGGAGAATCCATTTCCTGGTCATTTTCAGCTTCTAAGTGTGGCCAGCAGCCCTTGGCTCTGGCCACATCACCTTTGGCCTCCTTCTTGTAAGGACCTTTGTGACTTCATCACTGTATCCACCTGGATAACCTGAGATGCTCTCTCCATCTCAAGATCCTTAATCATAACTGCAAAATCCCTTTTGCCACGTAAGGTAACGCTTCCAGGTACGGGGGATGGGGATGTGGATATCTTTGGGAGCTTATATTTAGTGCGCCATAGTAACTAAAATCAAAATAATGGTTTTTTAGAATAAACACCTCAAAGTCCTGGACAAATGGACATAATAGCCAGAGGCAGGGGGAGGAATGTAGTCCTAGAAAAGTTGGTACAGTTTTTTATTAAGGGCATCAGATGAGACCCCATCGTTTCTGAGGATGATAGGAATTAAAAATAATGAGTGCTGGCGGGGTGCGGTGGCTCACGCCTGTAATCCCAGCACTTAGGGAGGCTGAGGCGGGGGGATCACCTGAGGTGAGGAGTTTGAGACCAGCCTGGTCTACATGGTGAAACCTCGTCTCTACTAAAAATACAAAAAATTAGCCGGGCGTGGTAGTGCATGTCTGTGATCTCAGCTACTTGGGAGGCTGAGGCACTTGAACCAAAGAGGCAGAGGTTGCAGTGAGCCAAGATCGTGTCACTGCACCGTAGCCTGGGTGACAGAGCAAGACTCTGTCTCAAAAAAAAAAAAAAAAAAAAAAAAGGCTGGGCGCGTTGGCTCTCACCTGTAATCTCAGCACTTTGGGAGGCCAAGGCAGGTAGATCACCTGAGATCAGGAGTTCGAGACCAGCCTGACCAATGTGGTCTCTACTAAAAATACAAAATTAGTCAGGCATGGTGGCGCTTGCCTGTAATCCCAGCTACTTGGGAGGCTGAGGCAGGAGAATCGTTTGAACCTGGGAGGCGGAGATTTCAGTAAGCCGAGATTGTGCCACTGCACTCCAGCCTGAGCAACAAGAGTGAAACTCTGTCTCAAAAAAAAAAAAAAAAAAAAAAATAGCCAGGCATGGTGGCATGCATCTGTAGTTCTAGCTACTTGGGAGGCTGCAGAAGGAGGATTACTTGAGCCCAGGAGTTAAAGGTTGCAGTGAGCTGTGATTGTGCACTCCAGACAGTGAGAGAGCGAGACCCTGTCTCTAAAGTGTGTGCTCATGTGTGTGTATAGCTATAACTGTTTTAATGTCCATCTCTGCTAATTATAACACATATGCCAGTGTTGAGTTGGTCTCAGTTACCTCCTCATTATGGATCATGTCTTCCTGCCTCTTTGGATGCCTGGCAATCTTGGATCAGGTGCCAGCCATTGTGACTTTTCCTGCATTGGATGCTAAAAATATATATATATATTTAGATTGAGTCTTGCACTGTCACCCAGGCTGGAGTGCAGTGGCACGATCTCCGCTCACTGCAGCATCCACCTCCCAGATTCAAGAGATTCTTCTGCCTCAACCTCCCAAGTAGCTGAGATTACAGGCATACACCATCACATCCAGCTGATTTTTTGTATTTTCATAGAGATAGCATTTCACTATATTGGCCAGACTGGTTTCAAACTTCTGACCTCAAATGATCCACCTGCCTTGGTCTCCCAAAGTGTGGGGATTACAGGCATGAGCCACCACACCCAGCCTCTACATTTTAAATATATGGTTCACATACCTTCCAGTATACACTTTTATCATCAACAGTGGGGCAGACTTCATATTTTATTGATTGATTGTTTGATTGACTGAGACAGAGTCTTGCTCTGTCACCAGGCTGGAGTGCAGAGGAGCTCACTGCAACCTTGGCTCACTGCAACCTCTGCCTCCCGAGTTCAGGCGATTCTCCTGCCTTAGCCTCCTGAGTGGCTGGGACAATAGGCACCCACACCTGGCCAATTTTTTGTATTTTTAGTAGAGACAGGGTTTCAGGCCAGGCGTGGTAGCTCACACCTGTAATCCAAGCACTTTGGAGGCCAAGGTGGGTGGATCACCTGAGGTCGGGAGTTTAAGACCAGCCTGACCAATATGGTGAAACCCCTTCTTTAAAGAGAGAGAGAGAGAGAGAGAGAGAGAGAGAGAGAGAGAGAAAGAAACAGGGTTTCACCATGTTGGCCAGGCTGGTCCCAAACTCCTGACCTCAAGTGATCTGCCTGCCTCAGCCTCCCAAAGTGCTGGGATTATAGGTGTGAGCCACTGTGACCAACCCAGACTTTACATTTTAAATTTGTACATTATGTCCTTTATTTAAAGGCTCGGCAGAAGTCCAGAGGATCACTTGTATTTTGTAGTTTTCCCATCTTTTATGAATAAAAATTACACTTTTTTTTTTTTTTTTTTTTTTTGAGATGGAATCTCACTCTGTTGCCTAGGCTGTAGTGCAATGGTGCAATCTCAGCTCACTGTAACCTATGCATCCCAGGTTCAAGCGATTCTCCTGCCTCAGCTTCCTTAGCTGGGATTATAGGCATGTACTACCACACCTGGCTAATTTTTGTATTTTCAGTGGAGACAGGGTTTCGCCATGTTGGCCAGGCTGGTCTCCAAGTCCTGACCTCAAGTGATCCATCCACCTCGGCCTCCCTAAGTGCTGTGATTATAGGCGTGGGCTACTGCGCCCGGCCACAAAAATTACATATTTTTGTACATGTCATTTACGAATATGCAGATTCTCAAAAATCTGGAGGCCTAGCCTTCTAGAACATCAGTGTGTTTCTTTATGTCAAGCTTAGCTTTTAGGACCAGAAGGTTTTTTTCTCCAGGGAACCTAAATCATCTTAGTCAGATATCCCAGATTTCCTTTATTCCGACTCTGATAGTGACTATTTTGAGTGTTTCCGATTTCCTTCTCTCCATCCAGGGCTCAGAAACACTCATGGGATTTTCTAAGCGCAGAGGGTTCACCTCCTTAACATCACCTGACGCAACTGTAAGCGGAGCCTCTACCAAGCAACCAAGTATTGACCAGGCTCTGGATTCTGCCAGGGGTCTTGGCCCGGATCAGACTGCATCAGGGTCTAGTGGCACAGCACACCCCTCTGATGGGGTGACTGGTAGAGAACAAAGCAGGGCGCCCCCTGGTGCTGGTAGACAGCAGCAACCAAGGGCCCGCAATGAGGCTGACATGCCACAACTCCAACCATCTTCTGTATTCCGACTCAAATTAGACTCGGATCGTCAAAGAAGTAAAGAGAAACTTACCTCGACACATCCAAGAAGAGATGAACAAGATGCACGTCCTGGCCCAGCTCAACAGGACTTAACCTCGGCCAGCGGCCAGCCCAGCAGGGTGACCACTAGCCAGAGTCAGGTCCGTGCAAGGTCAGATCGCCATGAGTTAGAACCAACTGGCATGGATCAGCCTGGATTCATGCATGCTAGCACTTACCCGCATGGTGTGGTCCCCCTCAACATGGGTCAGCTTGGTGTACTGCCACCTGAAATGGATGATCAGGAACTGGTACCACTTGTCATGGATCAGAAAGGTACGGTGCCACCATCAGTACCTGGCAGAGACCAGCAAGGAATGGAAATACCTAGCACAGACCGACATGCTGTGGTTCCACTCAGCCCATATCAGCCTGGTATGACACTTCCTGGCACAGACCAACGCAATATGGAACCACTTGTAACAGATCAGCATGGATTTGCAATATCAATCACGGGTCAGGAAGGACAGGTACCCCCTGATATGGACCAGCAAGGATTGGTATGGCCTGGCATAGATCAACATGGACTGGTTCCACCTTTTACAGACCAGCATGGTGTGGTACCACCTAGTTTGATACCAATTAGTGCAGATCAGCAAGGTTTTGTGCATCCCAGTTTGGAAGCAACTGGCTTCATACAGCCTGGAACAGAGCAGCATGATTTGATCCAGTCTGGCAGATTTCAGCATGGTTTGGTGCAGCCTGGTGCATATCCACCTGGCTTGGTCCAACCTGGTGCAGATCAGCATGGTTTGGTCTGGCCTGGAATGGATCAGTCTGGTTTGGTCCAGCCTGGCACAGGTCAGCGTGGTTTGGTCCAATCTGGTGCAGGTCAGGGTGGTTTGGTACAGCCTGGTGTAGATCAGCCTGGCATGGTCCAACCTGGTACAGATCGGACTGATGTGCTACAGATTGGTGCATATCCACCTGATTTAGTCCACCCTGGCATGGATCAGCATGGTCTGGTACAACCTGGTACATTTCCTAGTGGCTGGATACAGCCTGATGTGTATCTACCTGGACTGGTACAGCCTGGTACATATCCACGTGGTTTGGTACAGCCTGGTGCAGATCCACGTAGTTTGGTCCAACCTGGAATAGATCAGCGTGATTTGGTTCAGCTAGGAGTCGATCAGAATGGTTTTATGCAGCCTGGCACAGATCAGTTTGGTTTGTTCCAGCCTGGTACACATCAGTATGGTGTGATCCAACCTGGAGGTCAGCGTGACTTAGCACAATATGCTGCAGATCAGCTCGGTTTGGCACAACCTGGCGTAGATCAGCGTGGTTTGGCGCAACCTGGCGTGGATCAGCGTGGTTTGGCGCAACCTGGCGTGGATCAGCGTGGTTTGGCGCAACCTGGCGTGGATCAGCGTGGTTTGGCGCAACCTGGCGTGGATCAGCGTGGTTTGGCGCAACCTGGCGTGGATCAGCGTGGTTTGGCGCAACCTGGCGTGGATCAGCGTGGTTTGGCGCAACCTGGCGTGGATCAGCGTGGTTTGGCGCAACCTGGCGTGGATCAGCGTGGTTTGGCGCAACCTGGCGTGGATCAGCGTGGTTTGGCGCAACCTGGCGTGGATCAGCGTGGTTTGGCGCAACCTGGCGTGGATCAGCGTGGTTTGGCGCAACCTGGCGCCGTTCAGCCCGGTTTGGCCCAAGCTGGAGCAGTTCAGCCCGGTTTGGCCCAACCTGGTGCAGTTCAGCCTGGTTTGGCCCAACCTGGTGTAGTTCAGCCCGGTTTAGTCCAACGTGGAGTAGATCAGCGTGGTTTGGCGCAAGCTGGTGCAGTTCAGCCCGGTTTGGCCCAAGGTGGAGCAGTTCAGCCCGGTTTGGTCCAACCTGGAGCAGTTCAGCCCGGTTTGGCCCAACCTGGTGCAGTTCAGCCCGGTTTGGCCCAACCTGGTGCAGTTCAGCCCGGTTTGGCCCAGCCTGGTGCAGTTCAGCCTGGTTTGGTCCAACGTGGAGTGGATCAGCGTGGTTTGGCGCAACATGGTTCAGTTCAGCGTGGTTTGGCTCAACCTGGTTCAGTTCAGCATGGTTTGGTCCAACCTCTTGCAGTTCAGCCTGGTTTGGTCCAACCTGGAGTGGATCAGCGTGGTTTGGCACAAACTGGTGCAGTTCAGCTTGGTTTGGCACAACCTGGAGTGGATCAGCATGGTTTGATACAACCTGGTGCAGTTCAGCCTGGTTTGGCACAATCTGGAGTGGATCAGCGTGGTTTGGCACGACGTGGTTCAGTTCAGCGTGGTTTGGCTCAATCTGGTTCAGTTCAGCGTGGTTTTGTCCAACCTCTTGCAGTTCAGCCTGGTTTGGTCCAACCTGGAGTGGATCAGCGTGGTTTGGCACAAACTGGTGTAGTTCAGCGTGGTTTGGCACAAACTGGTGCAGTTCAGCCTGGTTTGGCACAACCTGGAGTGGATAAGCGTGGTCTGGCACAACCTGGTACAGTTCAGCGTGGTTTGGCACAACCTGGTGTAGTTCAGCGTGGTTTGGCACAACCTGGAGTGGACCAGCATGGTTTGGCACAACGTGGTGCAGTTCAGCATGGTGTGGTCCAAACTGGTGCAGTTCAACCTGATTTGGCACAACCTGGAGTGGATCAGCGTGGTTTGGCGCAACCTGGTGCAGTCCAGCCTGGTTTGGGCCAACCTGGAGTAGATGAACGTGGTTTGGCACAACCTGGCGCAATTCAACATAGTCTGGCACAACTTGGTGCAGATCAGCCTGGTTTGGCACAATCTGGTGCAGTTCAGCATGGTTTGATCCAACCTGGAGTGGTTCAGCATGGTTTGGTGCAACCTGGAATGGATCAGAGTGGTTTGGTCCAACCTGGTGCAGATCAGCCTGGTTTGGTCCAGCCTGGTGCACGTCAACGTGGTATGGTGCAGCCTGGAATAGATCAGCAAGGTTTGGTGCAACCTCAGGCAGATCCACATGGCTTGGTACAACCTGGTGCCTATCCTCCTGGTTTGGTACAACCTGGTCTAGATCCTCGTGGTTCAGTCCAGGCTGGTGTATATTTGCATGATTTGTTTCAACCTGGGACATACCCACATGGTCTGATGCAGCCTGGAATGGATCAGTATGGTTTGAGACAACCAGGTGCATATCATCGAGGCTCGATAGCACCAGGCACAGAGCTTCGTCGCTCTTCAGCATTCCAGGCAGATTCTACAGGTTTTATATCAGCACGTCCATATCCACATGGTGTGGTGCCTTCTAGCAGAGAACAACACAGCCAGGTGTCACCACTCCTAACCACTCAAGGTTTGGCATCACCTGGTGTAGGCCGAAGGAGTTTGGTACCACCAGAAACTTATCAGCAAGGTTTGATGCATCCTGGCACTCTGATACACCAGCGTGGCCCAACAACAGTGAGCACAGGCTTAGAATCTACACGCCCAGATCAACAGCATTTGACACCACCTGGCCCAGGTGAGCACGACCAGGTACGCCCAGATGCAGCTCAGCGCAGCCGTGCTTTCTCTCTCGCAGACAGCCGTGATTCAACGCATCCTGGCTATGGTGGCCCAAGGTACCTAAGTGCTGATCAGCATAGCCAGGAAGGTTTGGATCCAATTAGAACACAAGCCTCAGACCAGCCTGGAACTGCTGCCCAGATGGCCCCAGACCAAGATATCACCCTTTTCAGGAGTCCAGATTCCTTCCGAGTGTCATCAGAAAGGAGCGAAGTGTTGAGTGAGGTCCCAAGTGAGCACCGTGATTCACTGAATAGAATGAGCTCTAGTTTCCCCGCGGCAGTGGAAACGTTTCGTCTGATGGGAGAGCTCAGTGGCCTCTATCTGGAGCTAAAGGAGAGTATGAAGGATCTGGATGAGGAGGAGATCGGCCAAACCGAGATGGAGAAGATACAGTTCCTGCTGGCGAAGATGGGTGGGTGCCGCGTGCCGACAGAGGAGAAACCACCGTCTCTGTGTTCAGGGGTTTCCTCCTTTTCTTCCCCTGGCCTCGACTCCTGGCTGCTAGACTTCTCCCTGAGTCCCTGAAAACAGCATGTCTCAAAGCCTTGGCAGTCCAGAAAAATGGGTGGGCAGAGGAAAGATCTAAGCCCCAGGAGAGGAGTGGAGCGGGTGCTTGAGGCTTTGTCAGGCTCTCTGCACAGCAGCTGGGGAGAGTGTCTGGTTATAGAAAGCAGTAGCATTGGGAGGTGGGTGGGAGAGAATGCTGAAGAATGAAACTTCACATTTTGACTGGGAGCAATGGCTCACACCTGTAATCCCAGCACCTGGGGAAGCAGAGCCAGGCAGATCACTTGAGACCAAGAGTTTGAGACCAGCCTCAGCAACATGGCAAAACCCCATCTCTACACACACAAAAATAGCCAGCGTGGTTGCATACACCTGTAATGTAGCTACTCGGGAGGCTGAGGTGGGAGGATCGTTTGAGCCGGGGAGGCAGAGGTTGCAGTGAACTGTGATCGTATCACTGCACTCCAGCCTGGGTGACAGGGTGAGACCCTGTCTCAAACAAAACAAAACTTAAGATTTGCCTATTCCCAACTCCAAGCCCAGAGAATAATTAAGATTTTTGTGGTGGATGGAAGTGGTGAGTCTGTTGTCCCAAAGCCCTTTAGGATGTCAGGCCCCAGGTGGATGTTTTATGGGCTATGGACAATCTTCTCTCCCTTCTTCCCATCTGCTTTCCCAGTCACTACGAGGTTCAGGATAAAGTGATAGGTTCTGCTGTTCTCTGGGGCAGCTTCAGTCTTGCAAGGGCTGGAAATAGAGATTAGGAGCTCACTAGAGCTCTGACCCCTCTGATCATAATGTCTCTGTTTTCCATAGTCAAAAAGGTCATCCCTCCTGACCTGCAGGAACAGGTGAAGACTGTAAAGACTTTAGCCAAAGAAGTTCGGCAGGAAAAAGCAAAAGTAAGGAAGAGTCAACCCACTTTACCTTTTTTTTTTTGAGACGGAGCCTCACTCTGTTGCTTAGGCTGGAGTGCAGTGGCTTGATCTCTGCTCACTGCAGCCTCCGCCTCCAGTTTCAAGTGATTCTCCTGCTTCAGACTCCCGAATAGCTGGGATTACAGGTGCCCGCCACCACGCCCAGCTAATTTTTGTATTTTTAGTAGAGATGAGGTTTCACCGTGTTAGCCAGGATGGTCTCGATCTCCTGACCTCGTGATCTGCCCACCTCAGCCTCCCAAAGTGCTGGGATTACAGGCGTGAACCACTGCGCCCAGTATCACTTTGTCTTTTAATGCTAATAATAGCACTTTCCACGTGTATGTTATGGATTAAACTTTCTCATTCATTATTATCTGATTGGATCTTTGCCATCCTATCAGATAGGAACTGCACCTTGAGTATCATCATGTTCATTTCCTGGATCGAAAAACTGATGCTCAGGCCGGGCACGGTGCCTCATGCCTATAATCCCAGCACTTAGAGAGGCCAAGGTGGGAGGATCACTTGAGCCCAGGAGCTCAAGACCAGCCTGGGCAACATAGCAAGGCCTTATCTCTGCAAAAAATTTAAAAATTAGCTGGACGTGGTAGTTCATGCCTGTAGTCCCATCTACTTGGGAGGCTGAGGCAGGAGGATTGCCTGAGGCCGAGTTTGAGGCTGCAGCAAGCTATGATCACACCACTGCACTCCAGCCTGAGTGGCAGAGCAAGACCCTGTCTCTAAATTTTTTTTTAAACTGATGCTCAAAGCTATTATGATTCAGCTGAGCCAAATCAGAAGGGCTTTGCCGTTTTCATTATCTGTGGCAGCCTTGGAGTCCAGTTTGTGAGACTTTCTGGGGTCACAGGTCATTGCAAGGGACTGCTAGATCTTCAGTCATTCTCTCTTTTTGTAAATTGAGTCAGAGTCTTACTCTGTGGCCCAGGCTAGAGTCCAGTGACACAATCTTGGTTCATTGCAACCCCTGTCCCCTGGGTTCAAGCCATTCTTGTGCCTCAGGCTCCCAAGTAGCTGGGATTATAGGCACACGACACCAGGCCACACTAATTTTTGTATTTTTTAGTAGAGACGGGGGTTTCACCGTCTTGGCCAGGCTGGTCTTGAACTCCTGACCTCAGCTGATTCACCTGCCTCAGCCTCCCAAAGAGCTGGGATTACAGGTGTGAGTCACCGCACCCAGCCCATGCATTCTCTGAATGCCAGCTCTCTACATCCACAGATGGATGAATGGGTGGACGGACATCCATCCACAAAGCCTCCTGGCTTTTGCGGGAGAGGGTTGGGTAGCAGAGGGAAGGGGGGCTGGCATGAGCTGCAGGGGCACACTTGAGAAGCGGGAGCTCGGGCCTGCCTGACCCTCCTCATTCCCTGGGTTTGTAGGTGGAAAGGTTGCAAAGGATCCTGGAGGGGGAACCAGGGCAGGAACTGAAAGCTGGCGACCTGAGCTTGCAGCTGGGTGTCCTCAGGTAAAATGTCCCCACTGAGAGCAGCTGGTCCCCTGGAATCAAATTCTCAGCCAAGGAGATGATGAGAGCAGTGGCTCCCTTCACGCCCCTGAAGGGACCACAGTCTTCGGCCTGGATTGTGTCTGCCCTTCGGGTTGTCCATGTCTAGTTCGAGGAACCGGTAGAAGCTCTCCAGTTTCCCAAAACAACTCAGGACCAGGTCTTAGAAAAGCAAAAAGAAAGCCGGGCACGGTGGCTCAAGCCTGTAATCCCAGCACTTTGGGAGGCCGAGGCGGGTGGATCACGAGGTCGAGAGATCGAGACCATCCTGGTCAACATGGTGAAACCCCGTCTCTACTAAAAATACAAAAAAACTAGCTGGGCATGGTGGTGCAGTGCCTGTAATCCCAGCTACTCAGGAGGCTGAGGCAGGAGAATTGCCTGAGCCCAGGAGGCGGAGGTTGCGGTGAGCCGAGATCGCGCCATTGCACTCCAGCCTGGGTAACAAGAGCGAAACTCCGTCTCAAAAAAAAAAAAAAAAAAAAAATGCAAAAAGAAGCTTCTCAGACTCTGGCCCCAGTCGGAGGCCGGAGGAGGCCACTGCTGACGGCCCCTCTGAGCCCTCTCTTTGCAGTGCCCAGTCCCGCCATCCAGAAGCCTCCCAGGACGGAGGCTGGGCCTGGGGCTGCCAACAAACTCCGATGGGGTCGGGGGGAGACACCCTAGCTGTGTCAGGTCTTCCTGCAACCCTGACGGCTGAGGCTCTGCATGGGTGGGCTCAGGTCTGTGGCCCGAGTGTGGAATCTGAGTCTCTCATTGTGCACCAGAGTCACCGTGGCTGACATCGAGAAGGAGCTGGCCGAGCTGAGGGAGAGCCAAGAGACCGGCAAGGCCGCCATGGAAAATTCCGTCTCCGAAGCCTCCCTTTACCTGCAGGACCAGGTGAGGATTCCGCGCTCTTCAGCTCCAGGGACCAAGGGCCCTTCTCAGAGCTGGCTTGTCAGAAACCAGGTCCCTCCCGTCCCGTGTGTGCGTGGGGGGTGTGTGTGTGGTGTGTGTGTGTGTCTGGTGGGGGCGTGTGTGTGGGGGGTGTGTGGTATGTGTGTGGTGTGTGTATGTGGTGGGGGTGTGTGGGGGGGTGTGTGGTGTGTGTGTGTGGGGTGTGGTGTGTGTGTGGGGGTGTGTGTGTGGTGTGTGTGTGGGGGGTGTGGTGTGTGTGTGTGGGGGTGTGTGTGGTGTGTGTGTGGGGGTGTGGTGTGTGTGTGTGGGGGTGTGTGTGGTGTGTGGGGGAGGGTGTGTGTGTGTGGTGTGTGTGTAGTGTGGGGGGGGGCGTGGGGTGTGCGTGTGTGTTGTGTGTGGTGTGCGTGTGGTATGTGTGTGGTGTGTGGGCGAGGAGGGGAGGGAGAAGGGACGGCAGCAGGTGTGTCCAGGATCTAGCTCCCTCCTTATCCAAAGCCAGCTCTGAGTCCACAGGGGCAGGTGTCAAGGGAAAGGCACCCCCATGAGGCCTGTTTACCTCCCAATCTTTCTTTCCCTCTTTTTTTTTTTTTTTTTTTTGAGATGGAGTTTTCCAGTCATCCAGGCTGAAGTGCAGTGTCTCGATCTCAGCTCACCGCAACCTCCGCCTCCTGGGTTCAGGCGATTCTCCTGCCTCAGCCTCCTGAGTAGCTGGGATGACAGGCACGCGCCACCATGCCCGGCTAATTTTTGTATTTTTGGTAGAGATGCGGTTTCACCATGTGGGCCAGGCTGTTCTCAATCTTTTCCTACGTTTTTCATGATACAATTCATATATCATAAAATTCACCCTTTTAAAGTGAATAAGGCAGTTTTTAGTATATTCACAAAGCTTTGCAACTATCACCACAACATAATTCCAAAGCATTTAATCACCCCCAAAAGAAACCCTATAACTCTCAGCAATCTCTCCCCATTCCCTTCTATCCCTCAGCCCCTGGCAACCACGAATCTGCTTTCTGCCACTGTGGATTAGTCTATTCTGGACATCTCATATAAATGGAGTCATACAACGTACGACTTTTGTAGCTGGCTTCTTTCACTTAGCACGATGTTTTCCAGGCTCATCCATGCTGTTGCTTGTCAATACTCCATTCCTTTTTATGGCTTAATAATGTTCCCACAATTTGTTTTTCTAGGCATCAGCTGAAAGACATTTGGTTTGTTTCCATCCTTTGGCTATAATGAGTAATGAACATTCATGTAAAAGTTTTTTTCTTTTTCTGTTTTTCTTTTCTGAGACAGAGTTTCACTCTTGTTACCCAGGCTGGAGTGCAATGCCCTGATCTCGGCTCACTGCAACCTGTGCCTCTCAGGTTCAAGTGACTCTCCAGCCTCAGCCTTCTGAGTAGCTGGGGTTACAGGTGCCTGCCACCAAACGTGGCTAATTTTCATATTTTTAGTAGAGACGGGGTTTCTCCATGTGGCCAGGCTGGTCTCGAACTCCTGACCTCAGGTGACCCACCCGCCTCAGCCTCCTAAAGTGCGGGGCTTACAGGCATGAGCCACCGCGCCCGGCCCCCTTGTGCTTTCAGCCACATTCCGGGCCCCCTCCCAAGTTTCTGCAACTGTGGTGTGTACCATTTCATGACTCCAGTCCAAGTGTCCTGCCTGAGGAGCAGCTGAGAGGGTTTAAGAGTCACCTGACAGTCGAGGCTCATGTCTGGCTGTCCCAGGACCATACTCAGGAGAGAGTCCACTTCCTGGAGGCCAGGCACAGTGATTCACGCCAGTAATCCCAGCACTCTGGGATACTGAGGCAGGTGGATCACAGGGTCAAGAGATTGGGATCATACTGGCCAACATAGTGAAACCCCGTCTCTACTAAAAATACAAAAATTAGCTGGGTGTGGTGGCGTGCACCTATAGTCCCAGCTACTCAGGAGGCTGAGACAGGCGAATCGCTTGAACCTGGGAGGCGGAAGTTGCAGTAAGCCAAGATCGCACCACTGTACTCCAGCCTGGCGACAAAGCGAGACTCCGTCTCAAGAAGAAAAATAAAGGGAATCTGCATCTGTTGGGCTGACCTAGCCTCCTTTTGCAGCCTTTTTTCGGAGGCCCCGCTTCCACATGCCCCATCAGTAGCTACCGTGGCATGTGGCCTTTCTCTGAACACACTCCTATTCTCTCCTGCTGTTCTTTGCACAGAGAGCTGCGGCTTGGTCTTAAGACGCCACTGAAATGCCCATTTTTCTGGGAGGCCTCTTCCTCTTTTTTTTTTTTTTTGAGACAGTTTCACTCTTGTTACCCAGGCTGGAGTGCAATGGCGCGATCTCGGCTCACCGCAACCTCCGCCTCCTGGGTTCCGGCAATTCTCCTGCCTCAGCCTCCTGAGTAGCTGGGATTACAGGCACGCGCCACCATGTCCAGCTAATTTTTTGTATTTTTAGTAGAGACGAGGTTTCACCATGTTGACCAGGATGGTCTCGATCTCTTGACCTCGTGATCCACCCGCCTTGGCCTCCCAAAGTGCTGGGATTACAGGCTTGAGCCACCGCGCCCGGCCTCCTCCTCTTTTCTAGAGAACTGGCCGGTCCCTCCGCCTCCGGGGCTCTCGGAGGTGCCTGCGTCCACGCAGGCTTTTCTGGTTGTAAGCGGCGGTGTGTCTTCGAGCCCAGGCAGCAGGGCGTGCGCTGGGGATGTGCAGCTGTAGGGAGCAGAGAAAAAGGGAACCTCCAGGCCATGGCGGAGACCAGGGCAGGCCACCCCGCTGGTCCTTCCGCATCTGCTTTTGTGAGTGGCTGTGTCCCTCTCCTTAGCCCTCCCTCAGCCCCCCGTGTCTCTCCATCCCACTCTCCAGCACCCTGTTCTCCTTCGTGGTCCACAGCAGCCGCTCCAGCCCTGCGGAGTCCTTTCTGCTCCATCATCCACTCCCAAGAGAGGAGCCTGGGTTGGCCCAGCCTCTCTTTTTGAGCCAGGTGACATGTCACAGGTCTTTGGCCGGTGGAGCGACCGGCTATCCTTGGATCAGCTGTTGACCTAGGAGCCCTCATTTGTGGTGACCAACAGGGCCCGAGGGATTCGGAGAACACGGGGGTCACCTTCAAGGCTCTTGCCCCGGAGAGGGTTTCCACCGCCTGGCATAGGAGACACCCTGGAGTAGTGTCGGCCCGTGCCCTCTTCCTGTATCGCTAGTTATTTCCCTGCTAGGTGGATGGAGCCTGTCTGTTCCCCCGGCATCTGAGCAGGCGTGTGTGCAAGCCCACCCCTCACAGCCCCAGAGCCCAGGGCGGGGCCTATGTGTCCTCAGGGTCCTCTGTGTGTTTATGGCCCGGCTAACTGGCAGCAGCACTTTAGGATTTAGCTGAAGAAGACTTGTTCTCACAGTGAGCTGGGGAGCTCTAGGCTTCCTTCTGCAAGGGCTTCGTTCAGCACTGACGCTGTGCTCCCAGACAACTCTCTCTACTCACCATTTACCGGATAGAGGGCCCACGATGGCACATGCTCTGGGAGGCACTGAGGATGCAGTGACTGCCCAGAGTGTGACAGGGGAGAGGCGCACAGCCTAGGAGCGGTGCTGGCGTGGGCAGAGCATGGCCGTGACCAGCCTCACTGCCCTGCCGCCACCGTCTCTCCTGCACGCAGTTGGACAAGCTCAGGACGATCATCGAGAGCATGCTGGCCTCCTCCTCCACGCTCCTGTCCATGAGCATGGCCCCGCACCAGGCTTGCACCTTGGATCCTGGCCGGATTGACCCTGAGGCCACCTGTCCAGCCTGCAGCCTGGACGTGAGCCATCAGGTCAGCACGCTGGTGCGGCGCTACGAGCAGCTCCAGGACATGGTCAACAGACTGGTGGTCTCCCGGCCCTCCAAGAAGGCCAAGCTCCAGAGACAGGTGGGGCTCTGCGCACCTTCCTCCTCCTGCCACTGGACATGGCCCCACAGGGGAGGTCCGCCCTGCTGCAAACCACGGAGGTGGGGCGGGCGTTTGTCTTCAAGGTCAGCTATCCATGTGGAGCCCTTTAGCCAGATCCCACACAAGTCCTTGGTCTTTCTGCAGATCCACAGCAAGGGTAGCAGCAGAACTAGCTTTGAGGACAGGAGACCATGGGGAAGAAGCTGGCTTGATGGGGCGGGACAGCACAGGCCCGCTGAGTCACATGCCCTGGAGACACAGGCCCAACTGTAGGAGACGCTGTCTCCCTGGCATGCTAGTCTTCCGACCCCCTCTCGATTTCCCTCAAAAGGGCAGGCTTGCTGGTGGGGGCGGGCACAGCCCCAAGTCCTGGGTCCTATCTCTTGGGCTGAGGAAATCGGATTTGGGCCAGGAGAGGAGGGGTTAAAGCCCACGGCCCAGCTCTCCAGCGCCGTGGGACATCACTCCAGAGCCACCATCACCTCTACTGACCCCTCACCGAAGGCCAGCGTCCCGAGGCTGGTCCATGGGAATGTGGGTGACACCCACAAAGGGCAGGCAGAGAGTCTTCCCCACCGTTAGTGGGAAATTGTTTTCCATTGTTGTTGTTTTGAGACAGGGTCTCCCTATGTGGCCCAGGCTGTTCTGGATCTCCTGGGCCCAAGTGATCCTCTTGCCTCAGCCTCCCAAAGCACTGGGATTACAGGCACCAGCCCCCGCTCCCAGCCCTGAAGATGTGATAAGAGCCACTTTATCTGGGGGCAGCAATACCATGGCAGCAGGGGGTGGGATTGTGCCAGCAGCCTCAGAGAGGCTTCCCGACCCTCCTGCCCCAGGACGAGGAGCTGCTGGGCCGCGTGCAGAGTGCCATCCTGCAGGTGCAGGGCGACTGCGAGAAGCTCAACATCACCACCAGCAACCTCATCGAGGACCATCGGCAGAAGCAGAAGGACATTGCTGTGAGTAGCCGCGGGGTGACTGGGCCGGGCCTGGGGCTCAGCGTGGTGCCCCCAGCCCTGCAGCTATGGCTCCTTTTTCTCTGCTCACTTGGCCTCCCCAGATGCTGTACCAGGGTCTGGAGAAGCTGGAAAAGGAAAAGGCCAACAGGGAGCACCTGGAGATGGAGATCGATGTGGTGGGTACCAGGCCCCAGGAGCCATGCTGTGTCTGTCTCAGGGCAGTCTCGCTGGCCGTTCTTTGAAAGGCCAAGTGGAGGGGAGCTGGCAAGAGGAGGGTGGCCTCCCAGAAACACGCCTGGTGACAGGGGTCGACACCCCCAGGGAATGGAGTCCCTCCATGGCCTTCTCCCAGATGCGGAGACCTCTGTCTCTCTCCGGGCAGAAAGCCGACAAGAGTGCTCTGGCCACCAAAGTGAGCCGTATCCAGTTTGATGCCACCACAGAGCAGCTGAACCACATGATGCAGGAGCTGCTGGCCAAGATGAGTGGGCAGGAGCAGGACTGGCAGAAGATTCTGGACAAGCTGCTCACAGAGATGGACACCAAGGTGAGGCGGGGCACAGCAGGGCCTTCCATCCCACAGCCCTGCCCCCAAGATCGGGACAGCACCACCTTCTCCTGGGCCAGCCCCCCCACCTGCTTCCTTAGAGGTCCCGTGGGCCCCCCTCCCCCACTGCAGCTGGACCGCCTGGAGCTGGACCCACTGAAGCAGCTACTGGAAGATCGGTGGAAATCGCTGCGACAGCAGCTCAGAGAGCGCCCCCCGCTCTACCAGGCAGATGAGGCGGCCGCCATGAGGAGGTGAGGCCTGGGAGGCAGGGGAGGAGGCTGGCATGTTCTGTCGGGGGGTGAGGGCAGAGAGGGCTGGGGGTCCCCCGACAAACACCTGCCAGCACACTGTGGATCCTGCCCGGGACTGTCCCATGGTTGGAGGGACAGCATTTTAGAGCTTGACGTGCTCTTCCAGCTCAGGCCCCTTCGCATTACAGCAGAGAAAGGGAGTGGGGGAGGCTTAAGGCTCTCTGGGTTTGGCTGAGCTAAGCTGGGCCTTTGGAACAGGGAGAGGTCCTTAGTACCCAGAGCTGACACAGCTCCTGAAGCCAGCCCAGAGGACCAGGCCCCTGCTGGGCTTGAATTCCAGGATTCCCATTTGTGGCCGCCAGGGGGCCCCCGAGACGTGCACGGGGCACCCTCCGGGGCCCGTGGAAAGCCTGCTGGCTTTGGGTTAGGACAAGGAGGTGTGGGATGTGAGCCGCCCCGAGGTGGGAGCAGATGGATTCCTGGGGAGCAGGGACATGGTCTGCACCCCTGTGGGCTGAGCTTCCAGCCTGCGTGGCCTGCAGAGGCCCAGGCCCTTCTGGGACTTCCGAGCAGAGCACTCATCCTGCGTATGCGTCTTATTCCTAACAGGCAGCTTCTGGCACATTTCCACTGCCTCTCATGTGACCGGCCCTTGGAGACAACCGTGACCGGACAGTGAGTGCCCACATCACCGGCACGTCGCCTCGCACGGCGGGGCTGCGTTTCCTCCCTTCTCCACCTGTGTCCACCAGGCGGGGGGGCAGGTGGGAAGGTTCTTTAGGCAGGTGGATTTGGGGGATGGGACTTGTCCTACTCTGACCCACCCCTTTTTTCTCTGTCCCTACCCAGAGCCATCCCCGTGACCCCCGCAGGTCCAGGCCTACCCGGGCACTGTTCCATCCGCCCCTACACGGTATTTGAACTGGAGCAGGTCCGGCAGCATAGCCGCAAGTACGGGACAGCAGGGTCCGGGGCCAGGGCTCTGGACGGGGAAAGCAGGGGACAGAGATGACTCCCGAGGGCCTGGCAGAACCTGACAGAAGGCAGTGCTATGGGATAGTGTGGAGAGCCTCCTCCTTGGGGTGGGACGGTGGCGGCCACAAGCTGATTTCTCAACTAGCTCCCTGGAAGTTCCCAGGGCATGAGTGGAGGAGGCAGTCCTAGCTGCCTGTGGGAGCTACAGTGGAACTTTGTCAAGGGCACTATCTGCTTCTGAGAGCTCCTCTACTTCTCTATTTCTCGACCTCTTCCCCAGCCTTTGGCTAACTCAGCAACCCTGGGATTACAGAGGTGGGGGGAGTGTCTGGCATCGCTCAGCCAGAGGATGGGCTCAGCCAAGGAGGGAGGCTGGTGGGGGGCATCTCACACTCCCTCCGGCTCCTGCCTGCCTCTTGCTGCTCCCCTTCCCCTAAGGATGGGAGTCCACAGTACAGAGGACTTCAGACTGCTCTTGGAAGCCCTAAGGGTGCTGGTGTGCAGGGCCAGGTGCGCTGTGATGGGAAGGCCCCGGGCTGCCCTCGGCTCTTCTGCCCCGAAGCTGCAGAGGGAGCCGGGCTGTCTTCCATTTGGCTGGCCTGCACTTTCCCATCTGGGGAAAGCCTTCCCAGCAAGTCTGGCCCTCAGGTGCTGTGGAAAGGGCTGATCTGATCGAGGGGTCAAGCTGCTCAGCGACCCCAGCCCTCAACCAAGTGCCCACGGGGCTAGCTGGGTCTTGTACAAAAGGGACCCAGAACAAAAGGATGCGGCTGACACAAGGTCAAGGCTCCCCCGTGGGCCAGCACTCCCTCTGTTCTGCTCACACCCTGCAGCCTCAAGCTGGGCACTGCCTTCCCTCGGGGTGACCTGGCGCAGATGGAGCAGAGCGTGAGGCGCCTGCGCTCCATGCACTCCAAGATGCTGATGAACATCGAGAAGGTGCAGATCCACTTCGGAGGCTCCACCAAGGCCAGCAGCCAGGTTATCCGCGAGCTGCTGCAGGCCCAGTGCCTCAGCTCCCCATGCTACAAACGGTACGGGAGGGGCGGGCAAGGCCACGGGGAGCTGGCCATGCAGACAAACGCCTCGACCCACTGCTAGGGGAGGCCCTGAGAGAGAAAAAGGAGTGTAGGTGTGTGTCTGTGTGTGTGTGAAGGTGTGGGTGAGTGGTGTCAGTGTGTGTGTAAGCCATGTGTCTATGGGTGGGTGCGTATGCATCAGTGTATGAGCATGTGTAGGGGTGTGTATGAGTACGTGTGAGTACGTGAGTATGGGTGCAGGAGTGTGTGTGTGCATGTATGCGTACATGTGAGTGTATGAGTACGTGTGTGCATACCTGTGTGTATTGTGTGTGCATGTACGTGTCTGAGTATATGTGTGAGTGTGTTTGCATGTGTATGAGTGTGAGTGTGCATGTGTGAGTGCGTGTAAGAGTGTGTGTACCCCAGGCGCGGTGGCCCATGCCTGTAATCCTAGCACTTTGGGAAGCTGAGGAGGGCAGATTGCCTGAGCTCAGGAGTTCGAGAACAGCCTGGGCAACACGGTGAAACCCCGTCTCTACTAAAATACAAAAAATCAGCCACTGGTGGCAGCACGCGCCTGTAGTTGCAGCTACTCGGGAAGCTGAGACAGGAGAATTTCTTGAACCCGGGAGGCGGAGGTTGCAGTGAGCCGAGATCAAGACACTGCACTCCAGCCTGGTGACAGAACAAGACTCCGTCTCCCCGGCCCCCCCCTGCAAAAAAAGTGTGTACATGTGTGTATAGGTACGTGTGTATGTGTGTGAGTGTAAGGATGTGTACACGCCCGCCCATGTGCACGGTCACTAGAGTGACCCAGCCTCACGGCTGCTCTACCCCAATCCACCTGTCCTGGGCCCTGCCTGCCTGTCCTGGGCTCCCACTGCTCTGCCTCCTGGCCATCCCTGAAGCAGAGCTTCCCTCTGGCCGGCCTCATCATGGGCAAGTCCCAGGCCATGTCCCTGGCAGTCTGCTCCCAATGACTCCGTCCTGTCTTCTTCACAGGGTGACAGATACGGCCAATCACACCTACTCAACTGTGCCCCGGCGCTGCGGGGGCAGCCACACCCTCACCTACCCCTACCACCGCAGCCGCCTGCAGCACCTGCCCCGGGGTCTGTATCCCACCGAAGAGATCCAGATTGCCATGAAGGTCAGGACCCTGCCTGAAGCCACCAGGGAGGGAGGCCCTGACATGGCTCCAGATTCCTGAGTCATTCTCCAAAGCCACAAGAAGCCATCTCAGCCAGCCCTCTGCCTTGAGGCAATTCCTTAATCAGACCCAGTTAAAGCCTCAGGTTCTTATTTTCCGGGAAGAAGGATTCATCCCAGCCACCTGCCCGCTCAGCAGCATTCGGCCTCCCAGGCTCCCAGGCCTCCCACCTCTGCCAAATACCATTTACCTCCCTTCACCTTCTCTCTCCACCCTGGTGCCTCCCAGAGGCCCCCCAGGAGGGTTCCCGGACCCCAGTGCTCTGTGCCTCAGGCCTGCGTGGAGGAGGGGATGGGGGGCGAGAGGCGGTGCGTGCTCTGATAGTGATGACATCTGTCTGCCTCTACAGCATGATGAGGTGGACATCTTGGGCCTGGATGGCCACATTTACAAGGGACGGATGGACACAAGGCTGCCAGGCATCCTCAGCAAAGACAGTGAGTGGAGCCCAGAGGCTACCAGGTGCCTCGTGTGGGTCCCACAGGGCGTGCATCCTTTAGGGGGCCGGCACTTTTATGGGTCACTGGACCCTTGGTTTCTTCCTTCTCCCCTCCCCTGACTCCAAATGTTCAGGTCTCTCGAGAAGCCACCAGGTGAATGTTCACAGGTGGAGGACAGCTGTCCAGCCTCAGCCATCAGCGGGGATGGAGTGGCCCGTGTTTTCCTGCCAGCCTCCACCCCAGCTGTAGTGCTGGGCCTCTTTCTTTGGCATCATCAGGGCCTCCTTCTCCTTCAAAACTCAACACAAAGCCAGGCGCGGTGGCTCACGCCTATAAAAATCCCAGCACTTTGAGGGACCGAGGTGGGCGGATCACAAGGTCAGGAGATCGAGACTATCTTGGTTAACACGATGAAACCTCGTCTTTACTAAAAATACAAAAAATTAACTGGGTGTGGTGGCACCTGCCTGTAGTCCAAGCTACTCGGGAGGCTGAGACAGGAGAATCGTTGAACCCAGGAGGTGAAGGTTGCAGTGAGCAGAGATAGCGCCACTGCACTCCAGCCTGGGCGATAGAGCGAGACTCCATCTCAAAACAAAACAAAACAAAAAATCCCCAAAAACTCAGCACAGTGCCCTCTGCTGAGCCCCCACTGCCTCAGCCCCCGAATGCCCACCTTCCGTAACGTGACGCAGCCGAAAGTCTGCTGTTTGTCACTTCCTGTCATTCATTTAGCTGTGTATGCACCTTTCTAGATGCCTGCCCTCCTGCCCTGGAAACCCCAGGTCAGAACTCACCCCATACCTGCCACAGGGCTGACGTGTGCAGGTCCTCAGGGACTCTGTGCACGTGGCTGGGTGGGTGGACATGAAAATGAATGAAGACTGCTTCTCTGGGGCAAATCCAAAATTCAGACAGATGAGGACCCCACTCAGCCAAGGCCAGCCGTGACCAGCAGCCCCACGGCCCCCTCCCCACCCCCAGGGGTTCTCATGGCTGCCTCAGCACTGACCCTTCCGTCCTGTCTCCATCAGGCTCACAGACCTCAAAGCGCAAGTCCAGGCAGCCCCGGCCGAATGTGCACAGGCAGCCCTCCCTCAGCACCGGTGGCCAGCTGCCCTCTCGGCCTCAGAGCGCCCAGATGTCGGCTGGCAATACCCCAGGTAGCGCCCCTCTGGGTGAGGCGTCCTGCCAGGCCTCCCTGCTGGCCCTGCCGACCCCCTTTCCTGCCCAGGCAGGGTCACACCTTTATCTCACTGGAGAGGGGAAGGCCTGGGAGCCAAAGAAGGGGATGGGTGGGGAAAAGAGAAACCCCTAGAGACTGAGTGATTCGTGCCCCTTCTGGGAGGTGGGTAGGTGCCGTTACTGTCCCATTCCGCAGAAGATGAAATAGGGACAGGGTTGCCACGCAATCTCTGGTGCCAGGCCCACGCCCTTGCCCTGCTCACGTGTGCTGTCATGGAGCTCGTGCACCTGGGCTCTGCATGGCGGCTGCTGGGCACAGGCCAGGCCCAGGTGCCCGAGAGCCCCCAGACCCTGATATAGAGGAACCTCTGCCTGGCCTCTGGCCTGGAGGGTCCCTTGGGTCCCTGACCTCCCCACGAGCTAAGTTGGGCCTGAAGGTCAGGGAGCTAAGGACCCCTAGGGTTTAGCCACAAAGTCCCTGCAGCCAGGAGGCTGGATCACTGCCAGGTGACCCTGAGCAAGTCTCTGCCCTCTCCAGACCTGTGTCCTCATCTGTCATCAAGGGGGTGCTGGGTCAGTGCTTCTTGGAGTTAGGGCCCCCCAGAGAATCCAATAAAAGCTGTAGACCTTCCTGCTGTAAAACAGCAATGTACCCACATACCTTGTGGGTGCCCGTGGGAGGTCCAGAGACCCCCAGAGCCTCCACCCTCCCCCTAGGCTAGATGCTCCAACATCACTCCAGCCCTCACTGAGAGCCTGTGGCTGAGGAAGGAGGAAATCACAAGAGTGGTGGCTGCGGTGGTGATGGCTCCTCGCCGTCATCCAGGGCCCCCACAGGCCAGGGAGTTAATTTAGGAGCTTTACACGGATGAACCGGTTTTAAGCCACGCAGCAGCACGGAGGTGGGGACCATTGTTAGCACCACTTACGGCTGAGAAAACTGAGGCACAGAGAGATGAAGCTCCCTGCTCTAGGTCACACAGCCAGGAAGCGGCAGAGCTGGAGTTCAAAGCCAAGCCCTCTGGCCCAGAGGCTGTGCTGGGAACGACAGGTCTCAGTGGAGGAGAGTGAGCACAGGACTGTCACCCTGGCTCCCAGAACTGTTTTGTTGGGGGTACTTAGCTCCCTTCTCCCAGGCGTTGCACTATCTACTCTAAGGGCACCGAAATGCTCTGGAAGCAGGAGAGAGGGACTGGTAGTCACGAAAAATTCCTCTACCTTTTGGCATTATCACCTAGTGTCTGTGTTCACAGAAAACCTGTTTGCTGCTTTTTCGCTTTTTTTGAGATACGTTTGCTTTTTCTTTTTCTTCTTATTTTTTGAGAAGTCGTCTGGCTCTGTCACCCAGACTGGAGTGCAGTGGTGCGATCTCAACTCGCTGCGGCCTCCACCTCCTGGGTTCAAGCGATTGTTCTGCCTCAGCCTCCAGAGTAACTGGGACTCCAGGCACATGCCACCAGCACACCAGGCTAATTTTTGTATTTTTAGTAGAGATGGGGTTTTCACCATATTGGCCAGGCTGCTCTTGATCTCCTAACCTCATGATCTGCCTGCCTCAGCCTCCCAAAGTGCTGGGATTACATGCCTGGGCCGCCGTGCCCAGACACTTACTTTTCATTCACAAAGATCACGAAGGGTGCTTCATGACTGCTTAGGAGCTCAGAAGAGCCTGTGCCATGCACCCCAGCCCTGGCAGCCCCCCTCCAGCCTGTTTCAGCCCAGCCGGCAAACAGAATGCTCCTAACTTCCCTGGGCTTTGGGCAGGCTAGGGTGGCCCCCAGTGGGTGTGGGGAATGTGGTGAGCAACCTCAGCCCCTCTGTCTTGCAGTTTTTTTGCATCAACAGAAAGATAGACCTTCCTCTGACGGGCGTCTCCCCCTGCCGAACACAACGCACCCGCTCAGCCCCGCCGAGGTGGCAAATGGGGGACCGGAGAGGCGCGTGGACGTGCTTCCTGGGGACGGGCTCGAGGAGCCCACCCGGGGGCCGAGGTCCACCAATGCTCAGTGAGCAGAGGTGTAAATAAACGTTCAGGAGGAAACTTTGGCATGGCGAATCTTCTCTGACAGGAAGACAGAGGGAGAGGGAAGTGCCCACTGATGGCCAGACACCCCCAGGCCCGCCTGCTTAGGAGACCTTCTCTTGGACAGCAGGTATAGTTTGTAGCCTGAGAGTGAGTCCTCAGCCTCTGTTCTCTGAGGGCGCTGGGGCTTCAGGAGGGCTGGACATTGCGCTGGGGACAGGGAGACTCCGGGCCCTGGGACTGGCTGGGCCTGCTCTCACCCCACCAGCTCTCTCCTGACCTTGGCTAGACCCAGGGTGCTGTGCCTTCTGGCTCCAGACCTGCCTTCTCCCCTGGGGGGCTGGGGCTATGCAGTGTCCAGCACTCTGCGGGTGAGGGTGGCAGCTGCCTGCTTGCTCTTGCTGCTGGCTCAAGGTGGTTCCTGACACCTGGCATGGGATTCCAGGGAAGTAGTGCCAATGGCCGGAGGCGAACCTCTGCAGCACGCTGGGACAGTTTGTTTGCTGCCCTCCACTGCTGTCCCTTGAGTGGGCTTCGACAGAGACAGCCAGGGCCTGAAGGCACAGACCAGAGGCTGCCATGGCTGTGGCCCAGCTTCCCCATCCCCCTCCTCCCCAGGAAGATACAGAGCAAAAAACATCAGGCAGGTGGAGAGTGGTGTGAGCCCCCTGCTTGGCGCGATTTGCTTCCCTCCGCTCTAGCCCCCGACACCTGCAGGCAGGGGACCCATCACTTGGCCGGTGAGGGGACAGAGGCATGCAGGTGGGACTGAGCTCGGGCCAGTGCAGCAACTGCTAGGGACGAGCCTCCTTCATGGCCGCAACCCACTTGAAGCTCCAGGGACCCAGAGTCTCTTGACCTCCCGAGCTTGGGCTTCAGCCAGCTTCTAGGGGTCCCCCATTAGATGAAAGTGGTCCCCCACCCTGAGGTTTATAAAGCCCTGAAATCCCCAAGGCCTGCCTGCCCCAGAGGCTCCCCGCTCAGAGAAAAGGAAGTGCTTGGAGTTGAGAATGGGGCTCCCCCCACCCCCAGTTCCCATCGCCCCAGCATGGGAAAGGGATTTCTGGGGTAAGAGGCTCGCTTTGGGGTGTGAGGAGACAGAATCACACAGGAAAGGAAAGTGTGGCGAGAAACAGCCCAGAAACAGGTTTCTGGCCCCTGACCCTGGTGTGAGTAAAGTGGGGCGGGCTTGGCTGGGTGGGCGGGTGCTCCCTCTGGCTTGCTCTGCGGAGACCCAGCAAATCTTCATGTCATGAGGTCGTGCTCAGGGCTGCACAGAAGAAAGGAGCTGCTCAGACAGCGGAGTCCCGAGTGGGCACCCCCCTGCCCCAGCCCCTCTCCTCCCAGGCAGGAGGCAGAGCAGGGCCACCCCTCCCCCACACCAGCTGGGCGTCTGCTGCTCTTGGCCCCACCCTGGCTGTGAAATGTCAGAAGGTCGGCTCAGTTTCCTGGGTCTAAAGCCAAATTCACCAGCTTGGCAGGGAGGCACAGCCCAGTCCTCCTCACCACCCAGGCCTTCCCCACACCCACAGAAGGGCCCAGAGCAACATTCCCTAAGCCGACCAGGCCAACCCCCACCATTCCCGCACCTGGGCAAGGCCCACACCTGGGTGGACCCCATCCCAGACCCAGGCAGCCTGGGGATGTCACAGCGTAACCGCCCACCTGCCTACAGGGGCTGCCCCTTCCAGCCTGGGAAAGCACAGGTGGGCAGGGGAAGGGGAGGAGTCTCAGGGGTTTCCAACCAGGAAACAAAACTGAAAGGACGAACCCAGCTTCCAAGCACAGCATGTCTGTGTCCCACACTGAGGTGGAGGGGCCTTGGGGCGGCCCACCGTTCCACTCCGCCGGAGGAGGGGCTGCCCCACCGTGGGAGGAGCCTCAGGAGTCCTGGAGGCAGGATGCGGGGGTGGGGAGGGAGTGTGCCGGGCTCAGTCCCTCTCGATTTTCACTTCACTTCTGGCCTGAACCTCGAGAACCCCTGTCCTGCCTGTGTTCCAGCAGGGCCTGGGCCCCTTAAGACTGCAGCAGAGGGCGAAGCAGGAGGACGGGACAAAGAAGGGCTGGCAGGACCGAGTGTGGCGGTGAAGGGCAGGGCAGGAGGAGGCATCCCAGCCATGTGGCTGTCACCCCCATCAACCAGGTGGGCAGGCTCCCCATGCAGATGTGCACTGACCTCCAGCATGCAGCTGACCTCCAGCACCACAGGACTACCCCAGGCTGGGCGGCTGGGTCAGAACTGGCAGCCTCACACATGCTGACCCTGCAGGGCTATGGGGAGGCGGGTGGAAGCAGGCCCCTCTGGGAACCTGCCCTGTCTATGGCTCCCTGACAGCCTTAATTGACCTTTGGGTCATGGCCATTCCACAGCCCACAGGGACACACCACCCTGGGAAGTGAGGGTAGGAGTATCAGAGATGAACCCAGCTAGAACATGCCTGCTGGGAAGGCCTGGGGGGGGCATCAAGACACCCCCAGCTAGAAGATGCCCACTGGGAGGGCCTGGGGGGCATCAGGACACCCCCAGCTAGAAGATGCCCACTGGGAGGGCCTGGGGGGGTATCAGGACACCCCCAGCTAGAAGATGCCCACTGGGAGGGCCTGGGGGGGGCATCAGGACACCCCCAGCTAGAAGATGCCCACTGGGAGGGCCTGGAGGGGCATCAGGACACCCCCAGCTAGAAGATTCCCGCTGGGAGGGCCTGGGGGGACATCAGGACACCCCCAGCTAGGAAATGCCTGCTGGGAGGGCCTGGGGGGCATCAGGACACCCCAAGCCAGAAGATGCCTGCTGGGAGCGCCCACGGGGCATCAGGACACCCTCAGCTAGAAGGGGCAGCTCTCCCCACAGCAGATAGAAATGGCTTCCAGTGTTCCTCACCAGGGCTCTGCAGGCAGTGGCTATACCGATGGGGCCAGAAGGGAAGAAGGTCACAGGAACTCAGGATGGACTCTGGTCCCTCCTCCCCTCCCCACACCAAGCTGGACCCTGCCTGCACTGCCAGAGCCCCTGCTGTGACCACACAGCAAGAAACACCCAGCCCAGCCCAATGGCAAGGGATTCCCCCACCACCCCTTTTCCAAGGAAACCGATTCACCCACCAATGGAAATAAACGTACCACAAACCAGGGAAGTTAGAAAAGTCTCTTTTTAAGTTTTTAAATTAAAATTTCACCCTGGTGAGATGGGATTTCAATTCAGGAACTACATCCAAAGGCAGGCCCTCCACTGGGACCTGAGACTCACAGTGGGAGGGGCAGCGTGCCTGGGGCAGCCAAGGCCCCTACTGGGCAGAGCCTGGCCTTTGACCTCAGTCAGCTCCTCAGGGCCACATCAGCCCTGCACATTCAGCAGGAGACTAGGGGGCCACGACCAGCAATCCGAGGTGGGGAAGAGGCGGGGGGAGGGGGAGCCCCGTGCCAAGAGGGCCTTCCACACCTTTGGCCTCAGGCCCTCCCAGGACCCCGCCTGCAGCGGCTGCTGGGTGTCTCTTCCAGGTTCCGGAAGGCACGGCTGTGGGAGGAGGCAGCTGACAGATGCCTTGTGCCCCAACATCTTTCACTGGCTCTGCAGCGCGCTCCTACCCTCAAGACTCGGGTGGAGGAGGCAGCCACAGCCCTGAGCACCCCAGCTATGCCAGGCCCATTCTCACAGACATTAGTTATATTTATATATTCATATATATTATAGTTATATATTAAAAAGAGAGAAAAACTTGCCTGAAAAACTCCTGAAGGACCCAAATGGCCCAGGAAGTTTACTATCCCCCCCACCCACAAAAATTCTTTTATAAAATCTTCCAGTGCGATCTTCGGGAAACCCCCTGCCCTCCCCGGCTCCCCCCTCCCCGGCCCTCCTGTGTCCCCACAACCCTGGGCTGCCCTCAGCTCCAGCCCAGCGCCTGGCGGCATCCAGTCTCATCTCTGGCCATCCATGGCTGCCATGGCTTTTTGCTGGGCGCCCCCCTGCTGTGCTCCTGGGGGCCACGTGGGCTGTGGGCAGTGGAGGTGGTGGAAGGTGGTGGGGGAGGAGGGCGGGATCCAGGACGCCTGGTGGCTGGGCGGGGATGAGGCCCAGAAGGGACTGAAGCTTGCAGGCGGGGAGCAGGCTACCGCTGACATGGGGCTGTTGCTCTGCAGGCCCTCGGAGGTGCGGAGCTTGGAGAACATGGCCAGCGCGTCGGGGAAGTTGGGCGGTGTGGCCGGGGTGTTGCTGGGAGTGCACATCTGTGGGAGAGAACACAGGTGTGGGGAGACTGCCTCGGGGTCCCCAAGTCACTGGATGGGGCTCACCCAGGTCAGCCCCTCCTTTACTCCCATTTTTCGGCTTCATTTTCGCATAAGCAGCTTCCATAGGACAAAAGTGCCCTTTTCCCCCTGAGCCAATACAAACAAAACCCAAAGACAAAACCCAAGAACCTTATCAAAACCAACACAGCTTCATAAGGCCTGGAAAGGACACCCCAAGGAGTAAATGGTTAATTTTGCCCAGGAGCTAAGGTGTCAGATTCAAGTGAGAGGGCAAGGGAGCAGCCCAGGACACCACTGCCCTGCGCCTTCCCTGGGCAAGGAGACCAGCTGGCTGCCCCACCAGCCACCCTCGGCTATTCCCAGGCTGCTGGGCAAGGGAGAAGGGCCAGCGGGCAGGCTCTCCCTCCTGTGCCAACCCTGGAAAAGTTAAACCACCTTGGTGTGCGGATGGGTTCACACCACACTAAGGGTGACAGCCACCAGGCCTTGGAGCCTTTCCCCTTATCTTTTAACAATGAGACTTAGTGGCTTCAATTATCCCCTCTTTGTGACAAATGAGGAAACTGAGGCCCAGAAGTCAAGTTTTGGGGTTCAGTGGTCAAGGCCTGAAAATGCACCCACAGCGGAGTGCAGGTTGAGAAGATAACTCCCCAGCTCCAGGGTCTGCAGGCCCAAGCCCTCAGCATCCACTAGCCACGATGCCCGGACAGGGTCAGAAGCCCCGTTATACCTCGACTCCCTGAGGAAAGAAACCAGGGATTTCAGTTTCCTGTGTCTGTAGCCTCAGCCACACACAACTGGCCTGCCCTTGGCTGGAGACTGGCAGCTTCTCAAGTGTGTACAGCCCCTGGGCCCTCTTCCTGGGTAGCTACAGTCCCCCCTCTGCTGTCTTCTGCCAGAAGCGTGGGGGCAGGGGTTGGAGTGCCATCCAGGAGCACCTCGCCAGCAGCATGGGCAAGAGGTAGCACAGAGAACAAGACCGCACAAAGCTGGCGGGGACCTCAAAGCCACTTTCTCCCTTTCCCAGGAAGCCATGGGAGTCGTCCTTTGAATTTCTCCTAATTTTAGCAACACCGGCCCCTCCTCCAGGCACAGGAGTTGGGGGAACAAGACTTCAGTGCTCTTTACCTTAAAAGAGGGATCTTTGGCCAGGCGCAGTGACTCACGCCTATAATCCCAGCATTTTGGGAGGCCGAGGCAGGTGGATCACCTGAGGTCAGGAGTTCGAGACCATCCTGGCCAACCTGTTGAAACCCTGTCTCTACTATAAATACACACATTAGCTGGGTGCAGCGACGGGCACCTGTAATCCCAGCTACTTGGGAGGCTGAGGCAGGAGAATTGCTTGAACCTGGGAGATGTAGGTTGCAGTGAGCCAAGATCATCACACACTCCAGCCTGGGAGGCAGAGCAAGACTCCCTCTCAAGAAAAAAAAAGAGGGACCTTTCACACCCAGAAACCAGGGCATGGTGGGGGCATAAGATACAAGGGAGGGGGACACCAGCCCACCCTGTGCACTGAGCCCCACACCATGTCGGCACCTAGGGCACCAAGGGAGCTGTGACCCTTGCCTTCTCTAGGGGCCCCCACGGGAGGCCGAAGGACTCAAAGCAGAGGCCTGGCCCCACCCTGACCTTTCCCCTCCTCCCTCCACTACTCCCTGTCCGCCGCACCCCCCCCCACCACTGACTTCTCGGCAGCAGGAAACAATGAATGAAGGGTGGGGGTGGAGGCCAATTGCATCACGGCATCGTGACCGACTTCCCCAGTTCCCCAAGCCAGCAAGGCCCGTCTCCTCAAACAGCCACCACAGAACACCGCAACGATGGCTGTGTTCGCCTGCCTGTGTGAGCTCTGGCAAGTTCTTGAACCTCTCTGAAGCTTCTCTCTGTTTCTGTAAAATCAGGATTTTGAACCAGATGCTCAAAGCCCCCTCGGCTAGTTCTCAAGGCAACCCAGTGTCCCCTGCACCCACTTCAAGTCTGTTGCGCCTTTCTCCGCTTCCAACTGGGAAACACTCCTGATCAACTCGGAAGCTTCCTCCACCTGTGGGAATCTGCATTAATCTATGGGACAATCATTTGTCAATTACTCATGATTTCTGGTTTTGCCATTTTGCTGTTACTGGTCTCTAGTGTTTTATTTTCTGTTCAAAATTTTTCTTTTGATTTATTTTGTCTAAAAGAAATTGCCAGGCCGGGTGGCTCACACCTGTAATCCCAGCACTTTGGGAGGCCAAGGCGGGCCAGATCACCTGAGGTCAGGAGTTTGAGACCAGTCTGACCAACATGGAGAAACCTCGTCTCTACTAAAAATACAAAATTAGCCGGGCATGGTGGTGCCTGCCTGTAATCCCAGCTACTCAGGAGGCTGAGGCAGGAGAATTGCTTGAACCCGGGAGGCGGGGGTTGTGGTGAGCCGAGATCACACCACCGCACTCCAGCCTGGGCAACTAGAGCAAAACTCCATCTCAAAAAAAAAAAGAAAAGAAGAAAGAAAAAGAAAGGAAGGAAAGGGAAGAAAGGGAAGAAAGACAAAGACAGAAAAATTGCTAACTGGGTGTAGTGGCTCACACCTATAATAATCCCAGCACTTTGGGAGGCTGAAGCAGTGGATCACTTGAGGCCAGGAGTTCGAGACCAGCCTGGGTGACACAGAGAGACACCCCCCGCCCCACCCGTTTGTCAAAAATAAAATTGGAAGGAAAAAAAAGAAACTGCAAACTTTTTGAGAGCAGGGACAGTGTCCTCAACCCTGAGGCTGAGGCACTCATACTTCGGCACTGATGGACACACTGGCTATGTGTTACAAAACCTGCCGCCTTCCTTGAGGGACGCTTCCAAAGGGACTTGCCATCTCCTTGGGATTTGCAGGGGTCAAGGGGAACTACACAGGACGCCACACCAGCTCCCCCTGGGGAGCCTCCCTATTCTTGGCCCCTCAGAATGGCTGCAGTATCTGGAAGTTCTGAGCTTTTTGGGATGGCCACAGCTGGTGGGGAGGAACCTCAGGGGCCCTCTGACAGGAGATGGCAGGGAGCTTCGAGGCTCAAGCACATGTGGGAGCTGGAGATTTCTCATGGTCAAGTGCAGGGGAGGGTGTCTCCTGGAGATGAAATGCTCTCGGGTTTTTAAGAGCCCTGTGGCCAGCGCCATGCCCAAATCAGACTCAAATGCGATTTTTACTTGATTCATATACAGCATCAGCCATTCTAAGAGAAAAACTAGCTTAAAAGGTCAAGACGGATCCCTCTACTTGTCCTCTGTGACTAGATGAAAACAGAGAGCCACGCGCAAGGACACCAAGTGTTAAAAACGCCAAAAATTCACCCTAGAAGCCACAACAGCCTTCCTGGGGAACAATGTTTTCAGATCCCTATCGCTGAGCCCAGCCCCTCCTCCTCCAGCAGGGCTAATAGGTAACTAGGGGGGTAGAATAGAGGAGGGATGTCCTTGGCCTCCAGAAAGCAGGGTACCCCAGGGCCAGGAGGGCAAAGGCTCGGGCCTGGGCCAGAGTTAAAAAGAAAGCAAATTCAGACCGGGGCCATGTCTCTGCGTGCTGGGCTGGTGAAGCTCGACACACTGAGATTAAAGCACATTACTGGGTCAAAATTTGTGTGTCCTCCTGGCTTGGGGGATGTATGTCCTTCCAACTTCCCAGGCCCCTTGGGCTTCAGAAGGGTGAACAGATCTTTGTGGGTAGAGCCCGGCTTCCTGAGCCAGGGTGGATTCGTGCCTTTCCTGTTCCCTGTAGCGCTGGGTGTGTGTGTGTGTGTGTGTGTGTGTGTGTGTGGAGGGGGAGGGGGGCCGCCACTCAACAGCACGAGGGGCTCCCCATAAACACAAACAACCCCAGCGCCCTCCCTGGGCCCTTCGCCCGGGCTTCCCAGTTCCTTAGAAGTCTGGGCATCATCCGAGCCCCCTCCCCATCCCCTGGCGCTGGGGTCCCCCAGCTCCCGAGCCCCTCGCCAGGCCCCCGGCCCTCTCCCTCTCCCTCCTACCAACAACTTTGGCGCCCCTTCCCCCCAGGGCCCAGTGCCCGGCACCAGTCCCGAGGCCAAGCAGCAGCAGCCCGGGAGGCGGGCCCCAAAGTTGGAAGCGCCAGCGCCAGCCCGGGAGCCGCTGTTTCCTGGAAGACATTTTGGCTCTTTGTTTACATTCGCAGCGCGGCGCTCCCCGGCAACATGGCTGTCACTGCCGCGCTGACAGCGGCCCCGGCCCGCGCCCCTGCCCGCCGCCGCTTACCATCTGGTGGTGGTGGTGGCTGTTGGGAATGTTGGTTTCTTGGAAGAACGTGCTCAGCGCGGTCTGCGAACAAACAGGGCAGTGGCACCGCGGGCCCTGGCGGAGGCAGGAAGCGCAGCGGCCCGGCCCCCCACCGGCTCCCCCTGCCTCCTTGCCCGGCCCGCGGCTCCCGACCCTCGGCTGCCCCACGTGCAGAGGAAGCCGGCCCCGGCCCCAGCCCCGGACCCCCGTGAGACCGGCTCGCGGTCGCCGCTCGGCTTCCTGGCCGCCGCCAGGAGCGCTCCCCGCCCCCGCCGCCGCCACCCGGCGTCTCCGACCCCCGCGGCCGGGCTCGCACCTCGAACTGCCAGTGAGCCGCCTGCAGTAGCTGCTTCGCCTGGTCGGCCGCGCAGCCCGCGGCCAGCACGAACTGGTTGATCATGACCTGGTGCCGCAGCTCGTCCATGTTCACCGACATGGCGCGGCGCGGGGCCCGGCGGCTCGGGCCGGACGCAGACGCGGGGCTGCGCGGGCGCGGGAGGCCAGCTGCCCGGAGCTCCGGGGCTCGCGCTCGCCGCCGCCGCCGCCGCTCCGTCGCCGCCGCCCGCCGGGCGAATGTTGTGGTTCGGCTCCCGCGGCCCGGCCGAACCACAAACAACAGCGCGGGGCGGGGCCGGGTCGACCCAACGTTCGGGGGCCGCCGCTGATTGGCCGGCGCGCCGCTTCGCCAGCGCCTGGCTCCCGTAAGGACGTTCGATTCGAATCCTGCGGCCTGCGGGGCCCGCACTGTTTCTCTTTTCGCCCGGCCGCGCCCATTGGCGGAGCTCGGCGCCGTGGGGCTCCCCGGCATTGGTCGGCCGCTGTGTTTTGGCTCATCCGGCCTCGTGATTGGCCACAGCCGGGCGTTCGGGGCGGGGCCGAAGGTACTGATTGGCCTCCCATAGTCCTGTTTGAACTCAACTTGAAAACCCAGAGTGCCTGCTGATTGGCCGAGGGCCCTCTGTTTGCTGTTGTAGGCTAGGGGGTGGTGCGGCCAAGTTCATTCATTACTTCATTGAAACAGAACATGCTCAGCTGGAAAAGCAAGACAGAGTGGCTTTGACTCATTTCCTCTGAAAGATGTGGTCATCTCGAGAAACAGAATGATCAAAATAGAAAACAGAACCTTTGCAGCTGCTCAAGTCTCAAAAGCATCAAAAGCATGTCATTTTTAAAATAACTTTAAAGCAGTCCAATTTGTTCTAAAAAATATTTTATTGAAATATAACGTATATTAGGAAAGTGCGATGTCACAGGTACAGCTTCCAGACTTTTCATCAAGTGAAACCCAGATTAATTAACAGAACGTTACCTGCACCCTAAGAATCCCCGGCCTCCCCTCTTTTAATCACTACCCACCACAAGGATCGAGCAGTCTTTCCCTACGTTTTTAGACCAAAGACTTTGCTCTCTGAAGATGGAAGTCAAGATTTATGTACAATAAATTTGATATGCAAGGAAATATGCAAGGGACAAAGTGAGACTTTCTCAATGACCAATATCCCAAGCCAAGAATTTTTTCTTGTTAAATCAGTTGACCTAACTGAAGCTTTCATTTCTTTTTTTTTTTTTTCTCTTGTCACAAAAGCTAAGATGAAGCTTTAATTTTTACCATATTTTTTAAAAACAATGGGTGGAGGTGGGGGTGGAGTCTAGGTTTGGGGTGGCTTACACCTATAATCCCAGCACTTTGGGAGGCCGAGACAGGAGGATAACTTGAAGCCAGTAGTTCAACACCAGCTTGGGCAACATAGCACAGACTCCATTGCCACAAAATAAAAATAAACAATAAAAAACAGTGAGTGTTTTTACACAGATACTTTTTCTCAGTCGTAGCCCTTTAAAGCCCAAAATTTGGTTGCTGTTGTTGTTTTTGAGACAGGGATTAGAGTGCCATGCTCATGGCTCACTGAAGCCTCAAGTGATCCTCTTTGCCTCAGCCTCCTGAGTAGCTGGGACTACAGGCACACACCACCATGCCTGACTAATTTTTGAATTTTTAGTAGAGACAAGGTCTCACTATGTTTTCCAGGCTGGTCTTGAATTCCTGGACTAAAGTGATTCTCCTGCCTCAGCTTCCCAAAGCACAGGGATTACACGTGTAAGCCACCATGCCCCGCCCCAAATTTGTTTATATGTGCTGAGCTTCCATCTTCTGGATTAAGGTTTGATCTTCAGGGCTGTGTTTGGGAATTGTAGGGGTAGGAAAAGAACTAGGAGTTTAAGCAGATTGGGGAAGGGGCAGAAGAGATTAAGGAGATAAACATTGCTAGGGATTCACTGTTAGAGTTTCTGTTTCAGGAGAACTTAGATTTTGATCCAAACTACTAATTGCAGAGTATATTTTAACTAGTTAAAGGTCTGCAGAACAGAAGGAGGCTTATAATAAGAAAGCACGCTGTGGTTCTATCTTGACTTTGCCTAAATTGGATTTAACTCTCCATCTAAGAAAACTTGACAATACGTATTTTTAAAGTTTACAAACAAGAAGATTACAACTAACGTTAATGTTTCTGTACTGATGAAAAACAAATTCAAGTACTATAATGAGCTCATTCCATTTAGTTAGTTTTTTGTTTGTTTGTTTTGAGGGAGTAGGAGTCAGCTTTTTCCTGGGAATTGCTGTGGTTGCACTTGGATGCCCTGAAGTACACATGGGCTGGGACCTGGCGAGTGGCTGGAGAGTCCAATACAGCTTGCAGCCTTCCTGTTCAGTAATTGCAAGGTGAAAACAAAAGTGAGCAGCCGGCAGCACACATTGCCAGGGAGCTGAGGCCGCAGAACAGAACAAGGAAGTACTGTCACTGTGCAGCTCCAGGTTCTCACAAGTACTTGCAGGTGTCAAGCATGTCAGGGCCGTCAGTAGGAGGGTCTACCCTGGGCAGACACACTTCTGGCTGTAGTAGGATATCTTTTATGAGCCCGCAGGTCTTAATTCAGAAGTTCAGTTCCCAAGGAAAGCAAGATTCCAAAATTGCCAAATCTGTTATTTCCTGGATATCGAGGCAGTTTATCCAGATCGTTTATGTAATGTTTAACAATTGCAGGGCCCAGCTGTGGACACCTGGGCGAGGCCTGGAGGGCAAGGCCCCTAAGCCAGAGGGACTCAGGTTCTGGTTATCTTCTGTGGGCCTAAGGTCACTCGGGAACGGAAAAGGAGAGCCAGAGAGCCCGTGATTGGTGGTCCTGAGAGATGAAAGTGCTTAATCCATATTTTGACTTTTTTTTTTTTTTTTTTTTTTTTTTTGAGACGGAGTTTCGCCCTTGTTACCCAGGCTGGAGTGTAATGGCACGATCTCGGCTCACTGCAACCTCCGCCTCCTGGGCTCAGGCAATTCTCCTGCCTCAGCTTCCTGAGTAGCTGGGATTACAGGCACGCACCACCGTGCCCAGCTAATTTTTTGTATTTTAAGTAGAGACAGGGTTTCACTATGTTGACCAGGATGGTCTCGATCTCTTGACCTCGTGATCCACCCGCCTCGGCCTTCCAAAGTGCTGGGATTACAGGCTTGAGCCACCGCGCCCGGCCCATATTTTGGCTTTTGAGAATCTGACTGGAGATGAATAGCTGGGAAACCTAGGACCGCCTCACTCCTGGGAGAATGAATGAGGTCATGTTCGTAGAGGACTTTGAGCTGATGCAATGAAAACAACTTCCTAAATGCAAGGTTATTGTTAACTGAAGGTACTATTATTTTCATCTGAGAGGACAATGTATGGTAGGTCAAATGGAGCAAATAAAAACATGCCATGGGCTGGGCACAGTGGCTCGCGCCTGTAATCCCAGCACTTTGGGAAGTTGAGGCAGGCGGATCACTTGCGGTCAGCGGTTTGAGACCAGCCTGGCCAAAATGGTGAAACCCCATCTCTACTAAAAATACACAAATTAGCTGGCCGTGGTGGTGCTTGCCTGTAGTCCCAGCTACTCAAGCTGAGGCAGGAGAATAGCTTGAACCTGGGAGGCAGAGGTTGTAGTGAGCCGAGATCCTGCCACTGCACTCCAGCCTGGGTGACAGAGCAAGACTCCATCTCAAAAAATCATCATCATAATAAAATGGCTTGAATCACATCATAATAAAATGGCTTGAACGTGGTAGCCTCGGAAAGAAAATCCTTGGTACATCAATAGTCTGGGCTCCAGAACAAGCGGTGAGGCAGTAATCAAGAAGAAAAACAATCTTAGCAGCATTTCCTCCGTTCCCGGATAAACAAGGTTGTGGTGAATACAAGTCATTGAATCATTCCTGAAACAGGCACACAATAGCCGGACCATAACAAACAGCTGCCAGTTACCAAGCACTTCCTGTGAGCCAGGCAGCTCTCTAAGACTTGAAGGTCTGTTAACTCCTTTCAATCCTCCCCCAGATCCAGAATCCCAGTTCACAGGTGGGGCTACTGAAGGACGGCAGAGGGGCAGAGTGTCCACAGGTGGCGTGAGGCAGTGGTTAGCTCACCCATGCTACCGCGGTTCCTGCTCCAGCTGACACTTCAGTGGGACTCTCAAAGGGCCCCTTCCCAAAAAGATCTATGGAGGGCACTGAGAGTTCCACTGGAGATGCTCGAGTGAACCCTCCTGCCTCCATAGGGATGGGGTGAAAAGGACACCAGCTGTCTTGGGTAATGGGTTGGGGGAAGGGCGGAAAACTGGCATTCTCAACCTCCATCTCTGCAGCTCATTAAATTCTTGTTCTGGCCGGGTGCCGTGGTTCACACCTGCAATCCCAGCACCTTGGGAAGCCGAGGGCGTGGGATCACTTGAGGTCAGGAGTTCAAGACCAGACTGGCCAACATGGTGAAACCCGTTTCTATTAAACAACAACAACAACAACAAAAATTAGCCGGGCGTGGTGATGTGTGCCTGTAATCTGTAGTCCCAGCTACTTGGAAGGCTAAGGCACGAGAATTGCTTGAACCCTGTAGGCGGAGGTTGCAGAGAGCCAAGGTTGCACCGCTGTGCTCCAGCCTGGGCCGACACAGACAGACTGTCTCAAAAATAATGGTAATAAAAATAAAAATAATTTTTGTTTCTTTCTTCCTCATTTTTACCTCTTCCTTCCCGAAATCCAAACAGCTCCAACAAAGCTGAAAGATGGAACCTGAGGGGCTCGAAGAACTCCCAATAGGCCCAAGGCTCAGAGAGGGCACGAAACCCACTTCCGGTCATGGGCACCTGCTCTACCCCCCCGCTGACTGATGGCGGCACTGGGATTAGATTCAGGTTTGGTTGATGCCAAAGCTCATTTACTTCCTCCCTTCCTTCCTTTCCTTTCCTTCCTTCCTTTCTTTTTTCCATCCTTTAATTTCTTGCTTCCCTACTGTTTCTTTAAGATGCCAGTACAAAAGGACAAGGTGGCCAGGCAAAGCGGAAAGGTGCTGACAGAAGGAGAATGGGAGCGGGCCAGGAAGAAGACAGTGGGAACAAGCAGCAGCAAGGCAGCCGAGCAGGGCTGGACTCACTCTCCCCGGAGGCTCAGGTCCAGGAGGTACTGGTGGTACGATGGTTTTCTTCTCCTTTTGTGGATTTCCAATGCTATTGCTGGCCTTTATTTGTTTAACATAACCTATTTTTTGCTACTATTTTTCATTGCAAATCTATGCTTATTTTTTTCTTCTTCTTTTTTTGGCGACAATGTCTCATTCTATCACCCAGGCTGGAGTGCAGTGGTGCGATCTTGGCTCACTGCAACCTCTGCCCCTGGGGTTCAAGCGATTCTCAAGCCTCAGC